CCATTAGTATTATTATTATTATTATTTGATGAGCATATGGAATAGAATAAAGGAAAAATAGTGTTCAACAAATATTTAATTTGAAGGTTAAATTATTCTTTTACGAGTTGAGACGTGCTCGGTGGGAACAACTTATCTTTTTAGAATAAAGTACAAAACTAAAAATTAATCATTAAGCTAATATTCTATGAAATATAATTTTATTTTTAACATTACTAGAATACTTTTTTCCTAATTTGTTTTAATCACCTCGTGTTTGTCATTTTTTTACTTTTCATATTTTTCTGAGCTTTTTTGACACTCTTGACCAATAGCGACCGTCATCATGGTATTTCAGCCAATTGCGACCGTCATCATTGTATTTCAACCAATCGCAACCGTCATCATTATATTTTTAACCAATGACAAACGCTATCAAGGTATTTCAACCAATTGTGACCGGCATCACAAAATTTCAACCAATTTCGACCGTCATCATTGAATATTCAACCAATTACGACTGTCATCTTCATGAAACTAACAAAAAAAGTAGCTGTTTTTCTATTAGGATTTTATTAGGAATTAATTTTTTTATTCAGGGGGGGGGGAGAAGTGAAAAATCCTTTTAACGCATGCCCAGGAAACTCCCATTTCGCTGGGTTATGTCAGACTGAGCACAAATTGCAAGAAAAAAAATAAACCTTGCATACCTGCTTTAAGGAAGTCATCAATACCAACTAAAAACCTCTTCTTGATCCCCTGGGTTTCGAACCTTATATCCACCTACGGAACTACCTTTCGGCTTCAGACTTTGCAGATGAATGGTCCCACTTAGTCGCTGACGTGACTTTTCCGTGTAATTTTGACCTATATGGCTGTAGTCAAGACTCTTATCTTATGACACCTTGTGACCATAACTCTTCTTCTAACCTTGCAGTACACGAAACCAATCTTAACCAATCCTGGACGTCTTTCTTTTCCGTAAGAACATAGAAATCGTGGATTTCAAGAGCAATTTGCAGATCCGCCATCTGCACCTTACCTAAAGTTCCAATTACCTTTGTCACTTCTCGGTGAACGACGCTTTATTTGAAGTCTCTTCAATTTTAATAAGAAGGTCTCCCTTTTTAGTCGGTCTTGCTCTCATAACACTTTTCTGACTGACCTGCAGGTCTGTCTTTTCACGAACTTTCTTCAACACTTTGGCGAATGTAGTTCCCTCAAGCACTTTAATTATCATTGTTGTGGCTGTCTTCCATTCTTTCTTTTAGGAGGTCCTTCCTCCTCTTCGTGTCCATCGCGAACTTAGAATCGCTACTCTTCCACTTCTGACCCTCCAAGGCAACGATTTTTAGCATTGCCGCGTTAAAACGATCACGTCTCATAGCCTTCGGTCTTGGAATGCTTCTTCCGACCAATTTAATCCCTGGTAGAACTTCTCATCTTTTTTGGTTGCTGCTGCGTGATTCTCCTTGATATCCTGTATGAGAGATGTTAAGCTTTTGAGTACATCCTTGATTGCCATACTGACATTCTTCTGGACTTCATAGGACTTCAGCATCTTGCTGACCTCTTCTTCCATTTTCAGAATGTTCGCTGCCTCTTCCTCCCGCAGCTAAATGCATTCATCTCGATCTTCATTACAACTACAAATGTCAATCGCAGAAGCATTACTAAAGACAGAAATGCAGCTGGCTTGACTTGTTACACTGCTCGTACTCCCTCGTCTCTCCACCTTGTCTCACTATGATCTGTGGTACTCCTAACGCGCTGTTGCCCTCCTGCATTTTTGGGCCACTGGCCAGGCGCTTGACGATCGGGACCAGTGAGGGATTTAGCCGAAGCAGGTTTTCCCTTTATATTCAAAACGATGGACGAAAATTGTATTTTTTGAAAACCACTGTTGTATGAACATATGTTTGAGGCATATATCCTTCTGAAAATAAGGCAAAAGTGCTAAAGAGGGACAAATACTATTTTTGAAAAATCTTTTTTATTTTGTGTGTATGTATATTTTTATCACGAAGGGATATTTAAATACAAAGTCGATCGTAACAATCTTTTTTATTTTTAGGCACTGTAATAATATATAAATTTTTTAAGTTCTTTCACTGGAAAATACATCTGTTCTTTTACTGGTCACATCATTTTTATAGACATTTTTCAATATTTGACTAAAATCTTGAATACTACGTTACATTTATAAAATTTTTATACATTCGCTTAAATGTTCTTTCAGTAGTGCCATACTACCCTAAATCAATTATATATAATAATTTATATATTCGTTAAATAATATGATGCTTTCAAACATGTGCAACAAACATGGAATTTTTCCAATCGTTCGTTTTATCTATAGTACTACAAAAAAAAGATGTGAGGCTAATAGAATACAAATCATTCGGTAATGTACCTATATTTTTAAGAAATAGAGAGTTGAAGTCTTAGTTTCTTCAGTGTTTTTTACTTTTGTACAGTTTTAATCAAATTGTTGATAACATTCTACTGCCAAAACTGTCCATAATTCCCCTGCTCTTCTTTGGCGAGTATCTAAGATTAAACATATTATTAATTATACTTTTTTCTTTAAAGATTGATAAGAATATTAAAAATTCAAATTGTCTTACCTATTTGAAGATCTTTTCGCGTCAAAAAAGTTCTGTTGTATCTTTTTAATTTACAAATCGATAAAGAGGCTTTTTTCTTGAATATCTGCTTCTAATTTTCGCTGTTGTTACTTCAAGAAGAAAAACAATGATGGCAAGAGAGAATCCAATGACTAGTACAGAAAGCAATATGGGTAACAGTTTATCCTTCTTCATTTCTTCTGGTTCTGGTATATCACTCAGTGTATGTGGAATAGTCTTATAGAAATCTTTAAGCAATCCAAATTCTGATGCTTTTAGAATTACTTCTCTCAGACGATCGAGATAAGGTGAATCTAATTTTGTCGTGAATGCACTGTATCCACTTTCAATTGTCTCCAGCAATATTTTTCCATTTAGTTCACCGTATTTAACTTCATATTTCTTAACATGATATGTAGCGTCGGTAAGAACACAGCAAATATTCCGGTAATTTGACAATTGCCTTAAACATGTTTCCTCTTCTCCAGATGGATAACTTATACCTTTTTCTATCCACATTTTAATATCCATGTCAATTAAACTATCACGATTTTGGTCTACATCATCAACTACATTAATTACAGATATATTCGATTTCACAAGTTCTGCGAGAGTTGAAATTTCAGGAGTTGAATGTAAACTGACGTCAAGAATGACGGAGTAAAAATAACTTGCGTAGACAATGCATGTAATTAACAGTGAGCCGAAAATTATTCTTTCAGGTAAACTATGTGGTTCCTCGAATGTTGCCATTCCGATTATCATTTGACTGATGCTTAACGTTTGCCAAGTGCTCTTCTTGAATTTTAATAAAAATACTGTGAGTCGTATTATGCTAAGCATACAAATCGTTGCTAAGATCATGTACCAAAATTCTTTCGACACTTCAATGCTTTCGTCTGATTTTAGGCCTTTTGGAATAACAACATTTGTTCTAACAATATTCAGAACTACTGTATTGCGATGCATTCCAAAGAACGGATTAAATTTTTCTTGCAAACTTAACGTCAAATCAGTTTTTTTCCACATAAAATCATTAAACCATAAATATCTTTGTTCTACTGAGTCTGAGGATGTATAAACTGTGTCACATTTGATTTAAAATTCATTGTCTTTTCAAGAATGTCTAGAAGTTTCATTGAACTTTTGTATTCGTTTATAGATGAATCATTAACGGACTTACAGTCTACTTCTAGTCTATATCCATTGAGATTCTGCAATTTTTTTGGAAACCATACACTTTTAGATGTTACCAATTCGTGGGTAAAAATTTGAGTAAAAGGATTTAGGTGACTTAAAAATGGTGATATTAAGGAACTTGATTTGATTATTGTATGCGGTTGTTCATAGCTGTATGTCAATAAAGTAAAGTCTAAATAGTTCCCTTCCCAGGCTGTAGATAAAACACTTTCAATAATCGTATAATTTGAAGATGCAGAATTGAGAATAAGTAATGTCTGTGAAATTTTTAATAGATTTGAAAAATTACAAAGGTTACTAAATTCTATCAAAACAGAGAAATCAAAGTCCAATTTTGACTTTTCGCAAACAAACAGTGTAGGTCCATAATGTTTGTTAAGTGTCTTTCGCTTCCAGTAAGACATTAGATTAAAGTCGGAAATCTTTTTCACTTCATTATAACTATAGATTACAGATGGAAAGTGCGAATTGACGACAGTCGTTATGGTTGAATGTAGTATTGGGTCCGTAATATTTTGGACATCGTCAACAATGAATAAAACTTGATGTATTTTTGATTCTTTTAAATACTTTAGCAGTCCATCGAAGTAAATATTTGTTGAAGAGGTATCTTGAATTTCTCTCAAAAAAATAAACGTAACCAAAAATATGTTAATAACTTTCATCCTTAACAACCGATTTGTACAAATGATAGAAATAGACTGGAATGATTTTGGTGTCGTAACAAGGAATTCTAATTGAATCTTTTGTGTAATAAGAATATGTAAGAAAAAAACCTTTGAAATTCATTTTCACAAATGTAAATGAATTAAATTGAATGATTTCGAACTTGTTTATTTCTGACTACCTTCCACATAATCACTGTCTTATTATGCACAATAACGAACTTATAAAATACAATAAATAGTAAATTCCCATCGATTTTTATTGTATTCATATAATAAAAAAAGCGGAAACCCTCTTTTGTATTTTAGATGTGTCGACAGGTCTGAATTTTCTGTTTAAAGGGGATTCAATAGTTGTAAAGAAAATTTCGGCGTAGCACTCGCGCTTAAATCTAGGGTATTCTATAATTAGGTCCGAAATTACACGTGTTATTATTTGTTGACTTGTTTAAAATTTGATAAATTAACAATTATAATATATCACTACTACCATCATTACTAATTGTAGACCATCTATCTTTCGTTTCAGAATTCGTCAGTGCCGGAGGTATACAAAAAATTACCACTTGTGGGAAAGTGTTGTCCATTGGGTGAAATTTTGACTTTAAACGATAATCACAAAGCTTCCTGTTCAGCAATCAATTCAACAGGATTTCTATCAAAGAACAATGTATTTTCACCACTTTTTAGTGAATTTAATGCAACTGGCTTCGAAGCACCAGGCGATCGACAAACAATATTTGCAGCCTACATAGGTGATCCTTGCTACTATAACAGGTGAGAATCGCAAATAGGAAATCTTTTACAAAAGTATTGATTTCTACGAAAAATATTAATATTCATTTCTATAAAAAATATTAATCTATAATCTATATAATTATATTAATCTATTAAATATAACCCCACAGCATCTAAACTTGCAGCAACGTTGCCTCAGTATTGTGAATCTTGCAGCAATATTATCAATGTTGCTGTAAGTTTAGATGCTGTGGGGGTATTATTTCTTCGAATGAATGAAACTTTACAAATGTATATTTCCGAATGTGATGAGACAAAAATTTGTTGTTTCCAGATATATGTTAGAGCCAAAAGAATCATTGGAAGACGAACATTATTTATTGCGAAATGGTTCAATTTTTGCCCCCTATGAAAAGCCAGCACTATTATCACCTGGTGTTAATTATTGTATGGATATACTGGAGAATGTGGGACTCAAGACAATTGTTTGTTCGAAAAAAGGTTTGTTATGCAATTTAAAAAAATATTTAAGCTCCACTTGATCCACTTTCCGATAAGTGTCTGATAAATTAATAACTAGTTATTTCTAATACTGCTGACAGTAAAAGTTAACTGAAAGTTGGATTACCTGGATCTAAGGATATGAAATTAATTAAAACGAAGAATATGTTATTAATTAAATCTTAGGATTAGAATATAAGCAATTTTTGCTTAACGAAATTAATTAAATCTATGGATGTGAAATTAATTAAATCTAAGAATACAAATTAATTATTTGAAATTTGTAATCTAAGGATGAAAAATGAATGTAATCTAATACGAAATTATTTCATTCTGAAAATAGATCTTAAATTGAATTTATTTCGTGGCATTTGTGGTATTTTTGATATACTGTCTGGATATTCTAACATTGCAACTATGTTTCAGATGAACTTGAGGACACACCTGATTATCGACTAATAATTTACGCTTGTGGATTATTAATATCAGTGCCATTTTTGTTTCTGACAATTGTCGCTTATTGTATTACGCCAATATTGAAAGACGCACATGGAAAGGCACTTTGTAATTACTGCGGTTGTCTAATTGTTGCCTTTTCAACTCTGGCGCTTGCTCAACTTGCCAGTGAGCACATCAGCAATGAAGTCTGCGTTTCAATAGGTAATTTCATTTTTGGAATTAAGATAAATTTTACAGTTTATTATCTTGAGACTTTCTAAAGAAAAGCTCTACCATCATAGTCTTGAACTGATGATGGAGCTTTTCTATTTTTTAGTAGGATATTTCTTAACACTGCGTCTCAATGAAACCGATTTTTTTATTATTAATAAAGGAAATAATAAATTTAAAAACGTTAGGGATTTTTACCATACTTGTTAATTTTCTCTGCGATTAATATTATTTTTTTCTAATTAACAGCATTCATCATACAATTTTCGTTTGTGGCCTGCTTCTTTTGGCTGAATGTCATGTGTATCGAGACGTGGCTATTGATTCATCGACGAGTACATCGTGATCAATGCTACTGGGAACCTAAGAAGCTCTTTTTTTACTATTCTATTTGGGGCTGGGTTCCACCGGCAACACTCATTCTAATTTCAATGATAATGGATCTTAATCCAACAGTTCCCAGTACATACGTTAAACCCAATTTTGGATCTCAAAGCTGTTGGTTCAAATGTAGGTACGACTTTGAATTATTACTGTTTAGAAATACTTTTTTTAAAAATATTTTTAATTCAATTAAAATTTTTTATAAACAAATAGAACTAATGAAAATTATGTAAAAATTACAATTTAAAAAAAACGAAAAAATTACTTGTTAGTCACTATTTTTGCTATTCAAAGATCACAATTCACAACAGTTCGAAATTACAATGTAAATAAAAATTTGTATTCCAAATACAAATTAATAAAGTGGGGGAAATAATATTAAATCACTTATTCCTTATTTTAAAACGAAAAAGACATTTTAAAAAAATGGTAATTAATTATTAATTCTATTAAAAAATCAATCCTCAATAATGTAATTGAATAAAAAACACAATAGGGCATTTATCGTGTAAACATGAACGGGTCTCTTGGACACAAGGTCATAATTATAATTTCCGGTCGCCCCACTTTTAAAGCCAAACTAAAATTAGACTCTCATTTTTTTTAAAGAAGAAATATCGTAAATCCACAAGTTGCATGCAGAAATTTTCAGTAATAAATTTTCAGTCGGCAAAAAAAAAAAGAAAATATAGATTTTTCTCTCCTTTTTTCGTGTTGAGGAATTTCCGCATGAATGCGATGATTATTTTACGATAAAATATCTTAAATAAAGATGATTTTTCAAAGAAATGAAATTGCGATAACGAGTCTTTGGAATTATATAAGACAATTATTGTTCGTGGCCAGATTTACTTACGGATAATTGTGATAATATTCTAGAGTTAGTGCATGGAAAACCGCAGAGTTATTAAAGTCTATTTTTATAAGATCAAAAATAATCGATGGCACGATTTTTTAACTCTGAATAATTTTTTACAGATTGTCATTTAGGGGAATTTTGTTTCAAATATCTGTTTTATCAACTGTCGATAACGAATTTTTTGCAGAGAATAATTTTAATCAAATCAAAACCAAACAGTGACTACTCTTGACTATGAGTTATACTGATCATTACAAGTGTTTTTCGTTCAAATGTCTGTTTTACCGTCTGTCGATAATAACTTTTAGCAAAACGCGAGAAAAAATTTATTATTTCAAAATCGAATAGTTTTTTAACTGTGAAAAACTTTTTACTGATCGCTAGAAGTAGTTTTTCTTTCAAATGTCTGTTTTACAAACTGTCGATAATAATTTTTTTTGCAAATTGTCAAAAAATAGTTTCTATTAGGTCAAAATTAACCGCTGACGATTTTTTTACTCTAAATAACTTTTACCGTATCAAGCACCGTTTTTTTCAAATGTCTGTTTTACCAACTGTCGATAACTACTTAACAATCACAATAATATTTTTTATTAGATCAAAATCTTCAAATGTCTGTCTTACCGACTGTCGATAATTTTTTAGCAGATTGACGGAAAATATTTTCTATTAGGGCAAAATAAATCGCTGACCTATTTTTTTGACTCTGAATAACTTTGTACGGATAGTAAAAATTATTTTTCATTCAATTGCCTGTTTAACCAACTGTCGATAATACTTTTTTGCAGAACACGAGAGAATTATTTATATTATATCAAAATCGACTACATTTTTAACTCTGAATAACTTTTGACTGATCGCATGCAATAAGTAGTTTTTCTTTTAAATGTCTGTTTTACCAACTGCCGATAATAACTTGTTACCGATAAAAAATATTTTTTATGATTTTATAACCAACCGATGACTAGTTTTTTTGTGACTGTAAATATACTTTACTGATCGTAATAACCACTGTTTTTTCAAATGTCTGTTTTACCAACTGTTGATAATAATTTTTTTGTAGATTGTCAGAAAATATTTTCTATTAGGTCAAAATTAATCGCTGATGATTTTTTTACTCTTTTTACTAATCTTAATTACCATATTTCTTTCAAATGTCTGTTTTACCAACTGTCGATAACTACTTAACGATGAACATAATTTTTTTATTAGATTAAGGTGTTATGACATTCTAGAGGTCGAAAAAATAGGTGTTTTTGAGAATTTCTTTATAGCAAACTACGAAGGCAATCACAATTATGATCTGAGGACTTTATTGTACATTTATTAAAGTGTAAAAAATATAAATTTTATTGAAATTTGTGGCGCTGACGCTGATTTTTCTAATCTGGTTTTTGGCGTTTTTTTTGTTACTTTCAAATGTCTGTTCTACCAACTGTCGAGAACTACTTACCGATCAGAAAAATTAGTTATTAGATCGAAAGAACGATGGCAAATTTTTTCCGATTTATGACTTACGGATTTTTAATCAACTTCTTTTTTCAAATGCCTGTTTTATCGACTGTCGATAATAAATAAAAAATGAATGAAAATTTAATCACTTTTTTCTTCTTTTAGCGGATAAAGAAGCAATGCCCTACTTCTACATTCCAGTTGGTGTTCTCATTGTAATGAACCTAATATTTTTTGCCTTAACTGCCAGGGACGTTAATAGTTATCAACGTGAATTGGATTTACGTCTTCTTGCCCGTAATCAAGAATCAGATCGCCGCGAACAAAAAATGATAAGACGAACAAAGAAAACACTATTCGTATCAATTGGACTATTCTTCATAATGGGAATGAATTGGGCGATGGAAATGATATCGTGGTGGTCGGGTGGTGATCCACTGGCGTGGTCCGCATTCGATATGGTTAATGCACTTCAGGGTATCATTATATTTGGTCTATTTGTTCTTCGAAGGCCAATTCAGGATATTGTCTGGTATCGAATTCAATATCTTCGTGGTGTGCCTGTCGATGAGCCGGAAATTCTCAATATTGACCTGCGAATGCTGCCATTGAGTGACATTGATGAGACTGATAATAATCAAACTGCTGAGCAATGTTGAATTATTTTTTTTAGTTTTTATTTTAGTTCTAAAAAACTTTGAATAAATAATAAACTGAAACGACGCAACGCTGGACGGGAGAAAGAAAAGGAGAGATAGTTTTATATAACTACTAGAGGGGCAAACTTAAGTTGACTATTTAATTCCGCTCTTTCGCCACTAGGAGCGCTGCCGGCCTCTTTCGTAGACAACGCGCCAAAAATAGTCAAATAGTCGGTAAAGTAGATCCCTTTTTCCTTTTCTCCCGAAGAGCCATTTTTTTCATAAATGTTCTAAAATAAAAACTGTTTTTTTTTTTGTTAAAAACAACTAGTCTACAGAACAAAAAGAGGAAAGTGATAAATAAAAACAAATTCTTACCCTCTTACCGTGATATATTTTTATTCTTTTTTTTTGTTTTTCTTTCCTAAAGGCGATATTCTATACTTAGAAAAAATAAAGTAACAAATGCGTTTTTTTTCTCTTTGGAAAAGGAAAACTCGCACTCAACAGTATTGCACAACACACGTTGCAAAAACGTGAAAAAACCAGGTACTAAATGTCTCCATATTAGAATATTTTTCGGAATTCATTTTTTTTTTTGCAAAATCTTTATCAAAAAAATAATTTTTTAAGTTAAAAACAAAAAATATATTCTAAAATTTTCTTGTTTTTTATTTTCTGTAATTATATACTTTTGTACCCTGGAGAATTTTTTTTCAGATGAAAATTCCAAAAAAATTCCAAAAATTCAAAATGGAGATTAAAGCGTGATTTGTAAATCTCATTTTGAAAAAAAATAGGTGCATATCATTGGAGGGGGGAAGGGAAAATTTGTTCTCCCCCCTTCTTTGAAAGCTTTACATTTTTCGCAACAATTTTTTTTCTGTTTTTTTTTTTTGAGTCATGTTGATCTGCTCATAAATTGTTATTTTAATGTTGCTCTATCTATGATGTCCCGGAAATGCTTGACTCATGCCAAGAATACCAACAATTGAGGCATTTTGCGTAAAATAAATTAGACGATACATTCCGGGTGCTTTAATGGCCGTCACTACAAATGACAGACGTTCAACGCCAGATGTCGCCTCTGACATTTGTCTGGGTGCGTCAGATTTTTCTGAAAATTATATTCAATTAAATCTCTTCCCTATAATTGAACAAAAGAAATGTATTTAAAGACCCTCATTTTATCAGTATTTATTTTTTCACGTGTATCTCATAATTTTAGATTATTTTAAGTATAATGTACATAGTGTAAAAATTAATCGAATAAATTGTATTGTACATTTTTTCATTTGTATCGTAAAAATTACTAAACGCATTGTAAACTTTTATGTTTGTTTTGTAAAAATTACTATAAGCCTTGCAAAACTTTAACGTTTGCATTGTAAAAATTACTATAAGAATTGCAAACTTTAACGTTTGTATGGAAAAAATTACTATATACCTTCGCAAACTTTAACGTTTGGAATGTAAAAATTACTAAACGCCTCAAAAGCTTTGGTGTTTGTATGGTAAAAATTACTATACGCCTTACAAACTTTAACGTTTGTATTGTAAAAATTACAAAACGCATTGAAAACCTTAAAGTTTGTATAGTGTGAAATTACTGAACGTATTGCAAACTTTAACATTTTTGTTGTAAAAGTTACTGAACGCATTACAATTCTTAAAGTTTGTATTGTAAAAATTACTAAACGTATTACAAACTTTAACATTTTTGCAGTGTAAAACTTACTGAACTGCAAACTTTAAGTTATGGATTGTAAAAGTTATTAAAAGTATTGTAATCTTCAACGCTTGTGTAGTAAAAGTTGCTGAATGTATTGTAAAAAGTTACCGACCTACCTGTAAAGTTCTACATTTGTATTGTTAACTCTATTGAATAATCTGTAAGATTTAATAATTGTATGGTAAAAATTACCAAAAACCGAAAGATTGCAAGAATGTATTGTAAAATATACCGTAATTTGATAATTTACCGAACAGATTTGTAACTTTCATTAAGAATCGCATATTGTAAAAATTTGTCAATGAAATAAAAATATTTAAAAGTGCTTTCTGTGTAGTGTTAAAAATTTAAAGTGCTTCTACAATAAATCTTTTTTTATCGAGCCAAACAAATGAAAAAAATATATTTGTAGAAGTACCATAAATCGCTAATAATCATAAAAAAAGATAAATTTTACCTGCGTCTGTGTTGACATATTCATAAATAATATAATCATCGACACTTGAGAAACCATCCTTATAAAGGCCAATCCAATCTCTAAATCCAGATTTTCGATTACCGGTAAATTTGTAACTAACAACATTTGTCTCATCAATGAACCATTCATTAATTGGAAGAAATTCTACTTCTGGATTTCCCATATCTGAACGAATCTTTTAACATAATAGAAATTGTTAATTAAATTTTTTTTTGTGCTAAATTTTACATATTTTTTCTTCTAAAAAAATAAGGCGTAAAACATTTTACTTTACCACAATGTCAAATTCACTCGTCACCGGTCTATGATCCGATAGAACATAACTAGAATGACTCTTGTAACTATTTTGCACAGCCTTGAGTGTTATGTTTTCATAAACATTTTCATTAACTTTATATAAAATTCGATCCGTCCAGGATGGTCGACGTCTATAGTGGAGAATAAAAAATAGATTTTTACAAAAAAAAGAAAGGGCATACGGGGTTAAGTATGCAAAAATTTCCCCCGCACTTAGTAATCTCATATTGATGCCATATACTGCTACCGTTATGAGTATAAAATCCTAAAAAATTTAACCCCCCATCTGTCTTTCTTTACAAGTTATGGAGGGGGAAAGAAAAATAAAAAAACTCATTTTTTCTGAAACTACTTAACAGATTTGAATGTAATTTAAATATGTTATAAATATAGATAACATAATTTTTAAAAAAATGTTTAAAATTTGGTTTAAAAAAATTACCAAAAAATTAATTTTGAAATTTAACCCCTTGGCTGTCAACGAGATTTCCACTGTTTGGGCCAAAAGTGTGTTGAAAAAATTTTTAATGGATTTTTATGAAACTTGGTACCCTAAGGTTTCTGGGGTCGCTGATTACGAATCTGACATCAGTTTTTCGAAATTCAAAATGGCGGATCCAAGATGGCGGAAATTTTTTCAAAATTCGTCCAATTTGCTTGAAACTTGTTACTCAGGGGTTTTAAGGGTCACTGATTACGAATCTAACATTAGTTTTCCAAAATTCAAAATGGGGGATCCAATATGGCGGACAACGAAATAAAAAATTGATCAGATTGGCTTGAAACTGAATACTTGGGGATTTTCAGGGTCGCTGATTACGAATCTGAAATCAGTTTTCCAAAATTCAAAATATCTGGTTCAATATGGCGGAAATTTTTTAAAAATTTATTGAATTTGTTTGAAACTGGTTAATCTGACATCAGTATGATAATTCTTGGTGAAATCAAATTTCGATAAATGCCCTGAAAAAATAATGACAGATTTGTAATCAGCGACCCTAAAAACCTCCGAATATTCAGTTTCAAGCCATTATAATTAATTTTTTATTTTGTCGTATTTTTTTATCCATATTGGATCCGCCATTTTGAATTTTGGAAAACTAATGTTAGATTCGTAATCCCTTAAAACCCCCGAATAACAAGTTTCAAGCAAATTCGACAAATTTTGAAAAAAATTTCGCTATCTTGGATCCGCCATTTTGAATTTCGAAAAACTGATGTCAGATTCGTAATCAGCGACCCCGAAAACCCCCGAGTACTACGTTTCAAGTCAATCTGATCAATTTTTTATTTCGTTGTCCGCCATATTGGATCCGCCATTTTGAATATTGGAAAACGAATGTCATATTCGTAATCAGCGACCTCGAAAACCCCCGGGTAACCGGTTTTAGGAACATTTAAGAAGTTTTTAATCACCTTTTTTAAATTGCGCATATATGCGTCAACGACAGTCAATGGGTTAAAAAAAATTTTTTTTTGATTTTTTTAAAGATACAAATCTAATTTCTCTTTTAAAACATACCTTATAATGTTTGCTTTAATATATATTTTTTACAAATTTTTAAAAAATGTAGTTTTTTCAAAAAACGATACTTTTTAGAAAAAAAACCAGAAACTCATTTTTTTCGGAAACTATACTTAACCGATTAAAATGAAATTTAAATATATGTTATAAACATAAGTAAGACAATTTCAAAAAAATATTTTAAAAAATTATCAAAAAAAATTTCTAAAAAATTATTTTTAAAATTTAAAAAAAAACTTTTTTAGTTTTTTTAAATACATACATCAAATTTTTCTTTCAAAAAATACCTTAGAATGTACGCTTTAATATATATATTTTTTTCCAGTCTTTTTAGAACTAGTTTTTTCAAAAAACGACTTTTTTGAAAAAAACTTTTAAAAAATCATTTCTTTTCGGAAACTATTTGACCGATTTTAATGAAATTGAAATATGTTATAAACATAAATAAAACAGTAAAAAAAAATTTCAAAATTTTATTTTAAAAAATTAAAAAAAAATTAATTTTAAAATTTTCAAAAAATTTCTTTTTCACTTTTCTTTAAAGTTACATTTCCAATTCTTGTTTTTAAAAATTCCTTAAAGTTTCCTGTTTAATATAAATTTTTTCCATATTTTTGAAAAATGTAGTTTTTTCAAAAAATGACTTTTTTGAAAAAAAACCCCAAAAGAAACATTTTTTTACGGGAACTAGGTACTTAAAAATTTTTTTTTTGAAGATTTTAAAATTAATTACTTTAGAATTTTAAAAATAATATTTTGAAAGATTTTTTTTAAACTGTCTTATATATATTTATAACAAATTTAAATCGGTTAATTAGTTTCCGAAAAACATAAATTTTTAAAGTCTTTTTTTCAAAAAAGCCGTTTTTAGAAAAAACTACATTTTTTAAAAATTCGAAACAAATATATATTACAGCGGACATTCTAAGGTATTTTTTAAAAGAAAAATTGGAGGTGTATCTTTAAAAAACATTAAAAAACATTTTTTTTTAATTTCAAAATTAATTTTTCGGCAATTTTTTTTTTAATTTTGAAATTTTTGTTTTAAAATTGTGTTATCTATTTATCTATATTTATAACATATTTAAATTCTATTCAAATCGGTTAAGTACTTTCCGAAAAAAATGAGTTTTTAAGAATTTTTTTTTCCATAACTCCTAAAGAAAGACAGATAAGAGGTTGAAATTTTCAGGATTTTATACTCTATTGGTAGCAGTATATGGCATCAATATGAGATTAATAAGTGCGGGGTTAATTTTTATATACTTAACCCCCTATGCCCTTTTAGAAAAGTTTTCTATAATTGACTAAAGTATATAATATCAACGTACTTGAGATCATAATTCTGAGAGCCAAATTCATATTTATAAGTTGGCGGGAATGAAATTTTATTCTCAATGAGTTCAGCGAATGCTTCACCATTGGCCATGACTGTTTTAAGTTGATCTTTCTCGAGAAGAACGTTCAATTGATTTTGCTTAACGAGTAGATCGATATCGTTCGCTGTGAGGCCCTCCATCAGTCGAAAATTCAAATCGCCAATCCAGAATACATAACTGCAGAGACAACAGGTAACGAAAAATTTTTATGCTGCTGTGAAACTGATTTTTATAATTTTTTTTTTTTGGGATTTTTAATGCCATATGTATGTTTCATACAGACTCATGGTAAAAGATGCTTGATGTCTCCGGAGTATCGTAGATATGCTCGCGAAGAATCGTATTGTACTCTGAGATCCGTGTGGCTAGAAGATTATCGTGTGCGGTCAGATGCGCGTTTATTAGGCATAAACTGACACCGTAGATGTTCAGCCTCACGCTCACCGCACCCTTGTTACCCTAAAATAATAATGGCAAATGTTTTTTTCACCTGTATATACTTTTTGAGTCTTGTGGTTAATTTCTTATATCAATGATTAAATCCTTAAACGACCAATCATGAGTCGTTAAATTGTCTTTAATCATTGATTAACTTTTAATCAGAGTTTGTGAAACTGGCCCTAAGTGTGCATCTTACGGTTTATGTCTAACGCTTGAAAACTTCGTCTCATGTTTAAGTTATGTCTATGACCGCACATTTAATGTAATATGTAAACGTTTTACAACTCAATTTTGTTATATCAGATCGTGTATTAATATTTACTTTGATAATTCTAAAGCTAATTCAAACAAACCAGAGTTTTAGAACACAATTTTGTTATATTAGATCCAGGGTTGACACAAAAATTAAATTTTGTTTATTCCTATAACTTTTCCCTGATTTACAGACAAAATTTTTACTTTTTTTTCCAAAAAGTAATTAAATAATGTAACAATTTTTCAAAATTTTATATTATGTCCGATGGCTCGAAGATACTCCTCAATTTCGCCATTATCCCTTTTTTTCTTCACTTTTTGTAAAAAGAAATCCATCTATGTGTAGAAAAGGATTTTTTGTTCCGCTTTACACAAGTTCCACAACCATTTTACTCAAAATTTAGAATTTTTAAAAAGATCTAAAGATAGTAGATACTGCACGATTTTGACATTAAACCAATTGAAGTTGACTGAAAAACAAAAACTCAAACGCGGCACGATTTTGACATTAAACAAATTGAATAACAAATGAATGAAGTTGACTTTAGTTTACCATTCAACAATTTGAAAAATGTAAAGAATAATTAGTAAAAAAAATAGTGATTGGAAAAAAGAATTAGTGGAAAAAAGGTTATTGGAAAAAAAATTAGTGGAAAAAAAGGTTATTGGAAAAAAGAATTAGTGAAAAAAAGGTTATTAGAAAAAAGGGAATGGATAAACTGGTGTACAATCAACATTCTTCTTTAAATCAATTATTTTTAATAATTACTAGTCACTATTTTTGCGCGCTACGCACGCCCTTTTTCTTTCTGCTATTAAAAATGGAAATGTTTTTACACCGAAAAGTTTCTAATATTACTCTAAAGATACACACATAGTTATTAAAAACATTTTATCTTCAAAGGATTAAATTTTATTTTAAATTTTGTGTACCTATTCCCTTTTTGAATAATATGTTCTGGTAATATAAAATTATCATCTGCATCATTTAATACACCATTGAGAATTTTAAGTAACAAATCTACAAATTCCGTTTCTTGTGGTAAAGCTCTCATATTATCTGTTAATGTGTATTTTTTGAAATATTTCTATAGTTTACTATTTTTTATTGATAAATTTACTATTTCTGATTTAGTACCCCGTTCTATAATTGGTAAAGTTTGTCGAAAATCTCCGCCTAGAATTACAATTTTACCACCAAAAGGTTCGTTGGAATAGATAATCCATAATTTCTAAATCATATTTTGGAGCCATTGGTGCTTCATCCCAAATAAAAACATCTATATTTTTTAAAAAGAGGCCTTCTAAAGATTGAACTTTAATGTTTGAAGATGAATCACTGTACAATGGAACGGGTAAGCCTAAAACTTTATGAACAGTTTTTCCATTAGGAAGCAGAGTCGCAGCTATATCAGTAAAAATTTTATTTTGTATATCTAATAACCCCTAAAAGTCAGTTAAATTATATCCTTCGTTAAATAACATTGTTTTAATATTTCTACAAGCCCTTTGTTCAGCTTCAATGTCGTTTATTTTTTGATAATCTTCTAAAATTTGACCCTTAAATTGTTCCCATATATAGTTTATCCGGATGTACCGGATGACATTGAATTAAAATTCTTGTGAATAATTGGCCAAGTGAATGAGGCATTATCCATAATGCAGCTTCTTCGATTGTCCTAATCTACTCACTATCATCTTCTACAAGTCCTAATGCTAAACAAGCAGTTGTAAAAGATTCTTGAACAACTCCATTAATAGTTCTCAAACTTTCAAAAGAAATTGCTCCTTTTACTGTAAGCAACAATAATCTAAGATGAAATAACTCCAACTAAAGTGGATTAACTGAATACATTCTTCACTATACTTTTACTTTACGAATTCTTTGTTTCCATTCAAGAGATTTTGTTACCCATGTATAATGCTCTGGTATATCTGAATAATAATACTTTTGAGCATTACTATCTCGTTGGTTGAGTTTAAAATAATCCAAAAGTTTTGTATTTAAATCGAAAGAAATGAAGTTACTATCTTTTTCTTCTCAAATAATAACATTCTGTTCATTTGGCAAATGTATGGGTAAGCGATTAACGCTATGACTCTTTTTCTCTAAAGGTTTACTTAAAAATCATCATCATGCCCTTTGAGAATATATTTATATAAATATTTAACAGACTTGATACTCTAAACTATTTCTACATTAATATGGCAATTAAATATTTCTGAAAGTTTAGGGCAATACGGAACAACATTAGAATTATCAACAATAAATCCATTTGGTCGTTTATACGTTTTATTATTATTTCTTCGACGACAATAAACATAGCAATTTTCTTCAATTGTAGTTTCTTCTTGGTAACTTTTTGGAAATTTTTTTGAATATTTCCCATCAATTAAACACCAATCTCCGCAAGGTCCGTGAATATTATTTTGCATTATTATTTTATGTAAAATAGCATTGATATTTTCATCAGGAATTTCTGCAGAAATATAACGATCAACGCTTTCAACTGTTAATATTTTAGAATTTTCTTTCAATATAGCTAACAAATGAATGTGTGTCAATCCTCGCTTTTGAAATTCAATAACATAAACATAAGATTTGACTTCTCCAAATAATTTATTATCAACAATAGGTTTAAGTAGATGTTTAACTTTTAATGCGAAAACCCTAGTTACTATATCAGGTCTATCAGCAGCAGTTTGATAGGGGAATAATTTTTCCTGTATCTCTTTCCAATTTGGATTACACGTCATTGTGATAAATAAATCTGGTCTACCATGAAAAGCAACAATAGCAATCGAATCCTGATATTGTTGCATCATATTGCGAGGTGATCCTATAAAAGTAGAAGGCAATATAAGCGTCTTTCACACGTGTACATCATTTTCCAACACATGGTTGTGTAAATAATCTATCAGTTCTTTATATCTTTCACTTCTCACTTGAGCTTGATTATTTGTACAAAATCTCAATCTATCTTTTTCTATTTTTACATCATTTTCAACCACCCATTGTTGAAACAATCTACCTCCATATAAAAATTGATTAAATTCTTTATCTCTTACAGCAATTTTGTATTTAATATAGGCAGACCTAGAAATAGTATGATTTCGAATTCTGTAATCACTATCACTACGAATCATATTAATATTATAACCTTTATTTCCAAGTGGATAAAATATAAGATAAATCCATGGTTCAACATTCGGATCTAAATTACTAACCAATTTTAATTTCTTTGTAGATTTATTATAAACCGTTTTATAAGATTCTGGCATTTCTCCTTCAGAGTTTGTATTAAAAATTGCAGCAACTTCATTAAAACTTTGAGAATTGTATCTATTCTTATCAAAGCTTTTTTTCAACGTGAACAATAATTGTAACTCAGGAATTTCTTTATTATTTGTCTTGCTAATTCATCTTCTATTTGAATTACCTCTGACATCATCATGTGAGATTTTGTGTATGCATTAGAATTTCTCATAATACATATTTTCTATAGATTTTAAACCGTCTTCATCCAAATTTTCGTTACTTTTTAATCTGTATCTGATTGATTCCTCAGGGTCATAAATAAATAATTGACCAAAACATGGATCCTCACCTTTATCCGGATATAAAGCACTATTAATTTGATAGTAAATTTGACCTTGAATTTTGTAACAGAATGGTCCTCTTCTTCTGCCATTAAAATTAATTACATTAGCATTTAAAGATGCAAAAAAAAGAATTATTATACAGCCTTATATTCTTTTTAAAATGACCTGATTTTTTATTAAACCCTTCTAACAAAAGCCTTAATTCATCTGGATATTGTATTGAAGTTAACACAACACCTCCATGTTTACAACAGTCATTAAAACTAACTTTTTTACCAGTAACTTTTTCATCTTTAAAATGGTTAGCTTGACAATGTGTGCAGTAATTATTTATCAAACCTAGATAATTTTCTACATTCAACTCATTTTGAATTTGATGCTTTAATACTCCTTCACAATAATTTCTTTGACATCGAGTGTTTTTTGTTTTTGACAAAGAACTTGTATCACTATTTTTATTTTTTAATTTAAGATTCTCAGCATATTCTATTTTGGATTCGACTTGAAGTTTTTTCTTAGTTGAAGTGTGTTTTTCACTTAATAATTTACGTTATCAATTGTACGTTTTAATTTTTGCCTCTCACGATAATTTTTTTGAATTTCAGCCCTACTTTCTTTAAGTGTTTTTGATGCAATATTTCTTTCTTTATTTCATTTATAATTTTTGGGAAAGAAATGGATGTGTATGGTTCCTCTGAATAATTTTCATGATCAATTTTACGTTTTAATTTTTGCCTCTCACGATAACTTTTTTAAATTTCAGCCCTACTTTGTTTAAGTGTTGTTAATGCAATATTTCCTTCATTTATTTCATTTATTATTCTCGAGAAAGAAATTTCTTTCTTAATAGAGTTTTTAGAAAAGTTTGATTCTCCATACTGAAGTTGAATATCTTTTTCATTTAAAAGGCAATTTCAGTCATACACAACTATGCAAGATCTACTATTAGAAAGTTGTACAGAGGGAAATTTACATAAACTATTGTTTTCGAACATTAACATTAAATGATTTCTAAAATTACAATAATAGTAATTGACAGAGTGAGGCAGAATATTAAAAAACAACGATGTTGCAAATGCTATTGCATATACTCCATAAGAAAGACTGTATTCTGATTGTTGATCAACAGTTGTGAACACTACTGGTGGTTCAAAAGGATATAATCTAATTAAATAATCTTTTTCATCATGATTTAAACATTTTTTATTAAGACTATCAAAAATGTAAAGGCTTATTCCATCATAATAAGTACAAATCCAATGACCAGATTAATAAGATCCACTGAAAAGTATTTGAATGTACTGCTTACTTTGCTCGATTGGAACTATCAAATCAATTGTTTGCAAACAAAAAGTATTTTGCATATTATAAAAAAATTTGATTGTCTTCCCAATAGCTTTTGAAATTCATACTTATGATCATTATTTAGCATTGCTCCTACAGTGACAACAATACTTAAATCATAAGTAGTCGAATTAACAGTTTCTCCTTTGTTAGACATTGTTCTTTTATTTTATAAAATTTACTTATATCAAGGAATTATAATTTTAAAAATAGTAATATTACATTAGAATTTTAATATCAAGTTTTATACATTTGATTATAAATTTTATAATTTCCTGTTATCCAATGTTACCAAATTTTGCCTCTTATAGAAAATAACAACAAATATACAATTCCCTCTTTATTCAAAACTTTCAAATTTTTCCTTCTATCAAATATAATCAATGTCCAATTTTGTCTTTCATCCAATTGAACTAATTTCCAATTTTGTATCTTATCTAATATTTAACCAATTTACAATTTTTCCTTTTTTACAATTTAACCAACTTCCAGCTTTGTTTTTATCCAATTTAAATAATTCACAATTTTTCCTTACATCCAATTTAACCAATTTCCAGCTTTGTTTTTATCCAATATAACCAATTTCCAATTTTGCCTTTTATCCAATTTAACCAATTTCCAGCTTTGTTTTTATCCAATATAACCAATTTCCAATATTTCCTTTTATCCAATTTAACCAATTTCCAGCTTTGTTCTTATCCAATAGAACCAATTACCAATTTTGCCTTTTATCCAATATAACCAACTTCTAATTTTGCATTTGATCCAATATAATCAATTTCTAATTTTGCCTTTTATCCAATTTAACCGATTTCCAGCTTTTTTATCCAATTAAAACAATTTCCAGCTTTGTTTTTATCCAATATAACCAATTTCTAATTTTGTCTTTTATCCAATTTAACCAATTTCCAGCTTTTTATCCAATTTAAACAATTTCTAGCTATGTTTTTATCCAATATAACCAATTTCCAATATTTCCTTTTATCAAATTTAACCAATTTCCAGCTTTGTTTTTATCCAATATAATCATTTTTCAATTTTTTCTTTCATCCAATTTAACCAATTTCTAGCTTTGTTTTTATCTAATAGAACCAATTTCCAATTTTGCCTTTTATCCAATTAGAGTTAGAGAATTATAAGAGAAACTTCTATTTCTTTTCCAATTCCCTGATAGATGGCGAGAAATACCTCTCTCGCGCACGACTTGTCTCGCGGAGAGTATAAGTATCAGTCCCCTAAACAGGTGCTTTACAATAGTATCTTAGATCATAATATCAATAATAATTAATGTCTACCACGACGTTTACAATTTTTTACTATTATCCACTGATCACGGATAATAGTACACAACTACAATTCTGTGGTTTGGAGAAATTAATAACATTTTTATTATAACGTTGTTACCATTATATTATTTTAAATAAATATTAAATATATTAAAATTAAATAAAAATTAAATATTAAATAATTTGCTTAATATTATATAATTAAATATTTGGGAATTTTTAATAAACTTGCAGTGTTGGCTTGTCCTAAGCTTGCTGTGCAATCCTGCAGCAAGTAGGACATTTTAGTACTTGCAGCAAACTTGCAGCAAGCTTACTTGTAAGATTGCAAATCTTGTGGTGTAAGTTTGCTGCAAACTTACAGGTTACTTGGGTCTCTTTCTCTAAAGGCAATATAAATAAGAACGTCTCTCTTTACCTAATTTGCATATCTGCTCGTTTCATATTAAGGATTGAAAAGTTCTTCTTTGAGAATTTTTAAATCCATTTGCTTACAATTCAATTTAACGTGAAATTTCAATTATTCGAAAATTATTTAACTAAATATACATTAGAAAATAAAAACATTAAATAATTTTAAAAAATTTCGATTAAGCTTTTTGAAAAATAGTACATTGTACAACTAGTGGCGAAAGTGTGATTTTTCGAGAGTGAAGTTTGCGGCTCGAGCGTAGCTACGAAATCAGTTAAAATTGTATTCAAAGTAATTGATTTCTTATTAAAATATATTATTAAATATTATTAATATTATTAAAATTATTTTAAATTATTAAATTCATTTAAATATTTTTATAAAAATTAAACTTTTTTTAAATAATTAAAATTCATTTCAAAAATTTTATAAAAATTGAATTCCTGCGAAAAATTTTATAAAAAAGTTTTGAACTAGGTATTGATTTTTTTCGAAAAAATGTATGCAAATTTTATTTTTAGTAATTGAATTCCTGTGAAATTTTCATTATTTAAGAAAATAATTGAATATTCGTGTACAACTTTGTCAAAATTGTTTTTAAATAATTGAATTCTTTTGGGAAATTGTATTTAAGTAATAGATATACAAATTATTGAATTAAGAAAATTTTTTGAAAATAATTAGAATTTTGCAATGAATTTTATTAAAACATTTTAAAATAATTGAATTTTGTTTATTACTTTTAAAAATAATTGAATTCTTTGTAAATTTTTGAAAATAATTGAATTTCTGGAATGAATTTTAATATTTATTAAGATAGTTGAATTCTTTCCAAATATTGCGTTAAATTCTTTAAATTGAAACTAATTTCAACAGAATTGAAATTGAAAGTTTTCAAAAAAATACTTCATTAAATGATTTATATGTAATAACTTTGTGGCAGTTTTACAATAGAATTCATTTATTTAAAATAAATTATTGTCAGAAATTTAGAAAAAATTTAAGGTTTTTTTAGAATTCGTGGTAATTTTATTGTTTGAGGCAAAGAAAAAGAAACAAAAATCTAGAACTTTCTTATAAATTCTAAACATTGAATTATTTCCAGTACTTTTAATAAAAATCCCTGAATTTTCCCTGAGTTTCCTGACTAATTCTACTTTCCCTGACTTTTCCCTGAATTCCCTGACCTGTGGCAACCCTGTAGATCGTACCAACGTTTACTTGGATAACTGTCATAATTCTTGAGCTAATTCAAGCAAACCAGAGTTTCAGAACTCAATGTTGTTTCATCAAATCGTGTGTTAATATTTACTTGGATAACTGTGATAATTCTAGAACTAATTCAAGCAAACCAGAACTTCAATTATTACCAAAACTGGTAAATTTAATTTCTATGACTCTGAATAACTTTTTACTGGTAGCAATAAATAATTGCACACAACAATTTTTTTTTCAAATGTCTGTTTCATCAACTGTCGATAATAGTAACTGTGCCTTCTATAAATCTTCATTTCTAGTTGAAAATTAAGAAGGAAAAAATATATATTTTAAATGTCTGTCTTATCAACTGTCGGTGATAATTTCTTCTCTTTGCAAGTCAAATTTTCAAAGATTCAGCTAAATCATTTGTTTTCATTTGTCTTTACAACGAAACTGTAGTAAAGAAAAGTGTTAAATTATTTTTCGTGTCAAAGAATTATTCTTTTTCTTACCCATAAACCTCCAAAACCAGTCTTTGTATATCGAGCCTCAATTGATCTTAATTGATTAATATGCTTTCGTAGGCAAAATATATTTAACACTAGACCCTGCAATCGTTGCGTTTTTATTTTTACATAATCCTGTGTCTTTAAAATATCCCTAAAAAAATTTTTAAAAGTTGCTTATTAATCGTCTCAAGGCAACATAATAAGATTGTCAAGAAGATAATACAAAAAATTATATAATAATAACAATAAAAATAATGTAGTAAAAAAGATAATAATAATAAAAAAAAATAAAAAAGGTAATAATAAAAATAGTAATTAAATATTACTTACTAATAATAATAATAGTAATAAATACCTAAAAACTTTGGTCCATGGGTCATCAAAAAATACATCGTAAAATAAATCTTGAGGTTGTGATTTCACTTCCTGTAATCTGAAACAATATAATTTGTCTATTAATTCTTTTTTATAAAAGTATATTAAATTTTACGATACGTACCCAATTACATAAAAATCCGGCGGCTTATGTTCAACTGAATCCTTCATTTTGAGCAAATCGTGAAGATCCTCATCGGGATTTTTTGTCGCTACATTGTATGTTAAAAAATATAATCTGCAAAAAAATTGAATTATTTTAAACAAATAAAACCTCAAATTAATATTAATTATTGATCCTAGAAATCCAAAAAATCCAAAATATACAAAAGTAATTGATTTTTTTTTAAATTTTCATCATTTTAAATCCTCTATTTAAAATTTTTAAATTGAGCCTCCCAAAAAATTCCCGAGGGACAAATTTTAGACGAATATATTCAACATTCTAAACAGAAGTCGTTATTATCGTTCCGAAATTTTGAATTTTGTCATTTTACCGTCAAAATCGTGTTCAATGAGGTCAAAAAACACGAAACAACGAATTCTAAGGGCAAAAATAATAAATTTTAAAAAGTCTCTATTTTGGAACCGTCATTTTGTATTTTATAATTTTACCGCCAAATTCGTGTTTATCGACCCAAAAAACCCCCAAGTAACAAATTTGGAGGGAAAATATTCTTTTTTTTAAATAATTCACCATTTTGGATCCGCCATTTTGTATTTTATAATTTTACCGTCAAATTCGTGTTTATCGACCTCAAAAACCCCCAAGTAACAAATTTGGAGGGAAAATATTCTTTTTTTTAAATAATTCACCATTTTGGATCCGCCATTTTGTATTTTATAATTTTACCGTCAAATTCGTGTTTATCAACCCCAAAAACCCCCAAGTAACGAATTTGGAGGGAAAATAATTCTTTTTTAAAAAAATAAGTCGCCATATTGGATCCGCCATTTTGTAGTTTATAAATTTACCGTCAAATTCGTGTTCAGCGACCCCAAAAACCCCCGAGTAACGAATTACAAGTGAAAATATAAAATTTTTCAAAACGAACGCCATATTGGATCCGCTATTTTGAATTTTGCAAATGAACCGTTAAATTCCAAGTAATAATATTAAACAATAAAATTTTATTATTTGCAACGTAATTTCTCTACATTTTTTTTTTTATAATAAAAATTAACAAAACAATTTTTTCTTTTTAGACATTGAAATTCAAAATCTGATCTTATTTTCATAAATTAATATTTAAATTGAATGTAAATTAAATGTAAAATATGAATTTCATAAATATTATAATAATATTAATAAAGTAGAACGTAGAAAGTTAATAAAGAATTCACAGAAATTGGAAAGTATGTACTATAAAAACACTTCCACACAAGAAATTTATAATTCTTACTAGGAAAAAGTATATTTCAAGGTCATGGACATAATTAACCTTCATTTCAGAAAATTAACACATTATTTACATTTTAGAAAAAAATTTTTTTACATATTTTAAATTATTTTCTTCTTTTTGGTAAAAAAAATCGAACTTTGTTTGCACGTTACGTAATATTTTTACTATATAAACAGTACAAAAATATAAACTTTAAATAAATGATAAAACAAAAAAATTGAAATTCGTAAACAAATAATATTAATTTTCTAACCTTATTAACTCCGCTCCTGGCATCATTGTTCTTGTGTGGGAAATAAAGGAATAACGTTACAATTTTAATCACTTGTTTGACAATTAAACTGTTTATACTACAGTGTCAATTGTTTTATTATAAATGACGACGCAAAATCAATAAACGTTCTTACAAAATTGCAATATCGTAAAATTTAACCTCTTTTACAACACTTGCTTATAGATAAAAATTTTCCAAACTCTTTGTCTCTACATTTCGACAGTAAAATTTACAAATAAAATAAATAGGGAAAATAATTTTGTGTCGTTATTTATTTCTTTTTAATTATAAAATTCACATAGTGAGAAAATACGCGTGCGACTATTTTCATTAACTGTCAGTTTATGACAGTTTGACAGCCAATGATAAAATGATCGTAAAATTCAAAATGGAGGGTTGTCTCTGGTAATATTCTTCCAGACTTCCAGAGCCAACTTCACATTGCTGACTTTCTAGTTTCTACTGTAAAAATTACTATATTTTATAATTTTATTTTATAGTTTTATAAATTAGGGATTTATAAAAATGAGGTAATTATTAAAAATACTACCTAATAAAATTTACCCGAGATGGAAAAAATAACATTGTCCTTTTTTTCTTTACGTTAATTTTCCAATATTCGATGATCAAATTCGAGCGGGAAAATAGACTGTATTTGAAATTCTTACAAAATATTAATTAACAAAATTAATAATTGACGAAATAAAAACTATTTTTTAAATAAAATGTTTTTCAATTAACATTCAATAGCAAAAATAATTATTTCTAAAATACCCGTAAAATTAATTTTGCATTTGTCCCAAGATTGAAATTTGAAAACCAAGGAACATTTCTCGCTCTTAGGTTGAAACCTGGTTGGTAGCACTGAATTTCATTTTCCTAAAGTTTATCATTCTTCATACACGCAAGATAAGTGACTGACTTCACACGTTTTTCCACCGTTTGTCTTTCTATATAACTATTTCGTGCTTCATTTTATACGTTTTATACACAACAAAAATTTTATTTAAATGAAAAGTAACATAAAACATTGTTAGTTGTAAGACTTGAATTTTTTTCTCCCATTTAATGTTCAGTGTTTAAAAAACAAATAGTGGTGAATTGATGATAAAAAAACAAACAACATTTTGATTGTCGATCGACATTTTTTTCTCCTTTTTTTGGTGCTTTCACACACAATAAACATACATAGATGTTGAGAGATTTCGAATATGACAGAATGGTAAGTATACAATTATAACCTATTAATTTTTTTAACGAACAAACAATTTTTTTCTCCACTTTATACAAAAAAAAATCATTTTATAGAAAATAATAAAACCATTTTAGAAATAATTGTAAAAAAGTGTAAAAATGAACGTAAATTTTCTTATTTTTCATTTTTTTTTTCTTTGTGAAATAATTATCTCTTTATAAATCGAAATAATTGTCAATTTTTTATCTTTTTTTGTGGAGGAAAAAAATATTTTATGAATAATAAATTTTGTCCATCTGTTAAATCCTTTCATTTTTTTATAATAATTGTTTCAAAGTAAAAATTTGACAAATCTACGATTTTTAAAGGGAAAAGGTTTTAAAAGTGTGAAACTTTATTAAAATTGTTTTTTGATTGTTTTATTAATAAAATTCGTTATTGAAACAAATAATAATAATGATGATAATGTTGATAATGATAATGATGGTGATAATGAGATGATGATGATAATGATGATGATGGTGATGATGATGATGGTTATAATAATATTAATGACAATATAAAAATAATAATAATGAAAATGATAATAATAGTAAAAATACTAAATAAATAATAATTATAATGACAATAATAAAAATAATTTAAATTTTTTATAAAATGATTTACCTAATAAATAAATAAGTAAATAAATAATAATGTTAAAATTATTATTATTGAAAATTCTGCGGGAAATAATATATAGTAAAATTTGTAAAAAAAGTCTACAGTAAATAAATAAAAATAAATAATGATAATGATAATAATAATTAAAAAACATTTATTTTAAAAATACAAATTTTAGTATAATATCTTAAAATTATTTTACTCTTCTCTTTAAATTAAATATAATTAATTTTCGTATAAAATTAAATAAATTATAAAAAAAAAAATTTTTTTCTGAATAAAAACTGCATTGTTTTCCTGTTAATGTTTAACTTCAACCAATGGTAAACATTTTTATATTTGTTTTAACGAATACGTGGTAAAATATACTTTTTTTGCCACGTTTTCACTTTTATTTTTCGATTTTCTTTTCAATGCTTTATTTTTTCCACAAATATTCCTTTATTGTATATAGAACCTGAATTTCTTTGGAAATATTAAGTAAGTTTTTTGTTCTATAAAAAAATTTTATTTTAATTTCCATTGTTTTTTTAATCGATTTTTTCAATTATTAATTAAAATTTTTTATTTCTTTGTAAATAATATTTTTTTTAATTAGTTTTTTTTATTAGTAAAAATATAAAATACAATCACGTTAAATTTAAAGATAAGAAATAAACCATTTTTATTTTATTAAACGATGAAACAGTCAATTTTATTTTAATTTTATTTTAATTTTCATTGTTTTTTTAATCGATTTTTTCAATTATTAATTAAAAATTTTTTATTTCTCTTCTTTGTAAATAATTTTTATTTTAATTAGTAATTTTATTTATTAGTTTTTTTTATTATTTATTTATTAGTAAAAATTATAAAATACAATTACGTTAAATTTAAAGATAACGAGAAATAAACAATTTTATTTTTATTAAACGATGAAATAGTCGATTTTATTTGAATTTAAATTTAATTTTCATTGTTTTTTAATCGATTTTTTCAATTATTAATTAAAAAATTTTGTATTTCTCTTCTTTGTAAATAATTTTTATTTTTATTAGTAATTTCTTTATTAGTTTATTTTATTAGTAAAAATTATAAAATACTATTACGTTAAATTTTGAGTTTTTTATAAAAATTTTAATTTTAAAATTATTTTCTAAATATTGAAAATAAAATTTAAATAAAAGAAAATATTGAAATACGTTAAATATTGAAACAATTATTTTTTTAGGTTGAAAAAAATTTTTTAAAAATTACAATTTTCGTTGCTATTAAAATTGATATTTTTTCTTAAATAAATTAATTTAGGTACATTAATTATTAATATTAATTATTTCTTTCCTTTTTAGACGAGGTGACGTTTGGTTCTGCCATGCGAAACAAATCAATACCTTTTGTACTCATTTTACTAATTGTATGGAGTATTGTCATTTATTTTCTATTTCTTGATCGACCAATCGGCAATGAGGTTCGCAAGGTAAACAATTTTTTTCTTAATTAAATTATTATTTAAATTATATTAAACAAATTTTTACATTCATAATTTAAAACAAGAATTCATAATTCTTTTAAATACATAAAATTGTCACCAAATTAATAAATTAAGTTTTAGTAAAATTTTTAATACATCATTTTTATTTGATTGTTTTTTTTTCTTTTTTAAGGAAAATTTTGTTAATCAGATGATTAAATTAGAGAGAGCAGTGGAAACTGAAATTGCTCTTAATAATGAATTACTGACACGACTTAAGGAGCAACGTTTACATAAAAGTAAGTAAAGAAAAAAAATTTTTCTGTTTTTTTTTTAAATTCACCGAAAAATTAATTTTTAAATTCGCATTAAATTTTTAGAACAAGAGGAAGTTATTGAGGAACAAAAGCATGTAGAACAGCCAATACAGGAAGAAAAACAAAATGACAATAAATTTCGACACGTAAATATTTTAATTTATTATTAATGAATTTTCAAAAAAAAATTTTTAAAATATTTTCAGTAATTAATATTTTAAATATTTTTGCTAATCACTATTTTCAATGTTTCTACGAATAAATATTTCTAATATTTTTAGTAATAAATACTTTTACTATTAAATACTATTAATTACATATTTTTAGTATTAGATATGAAAAATATCTTTTACTATTAAATACTAAATTTAATTTTACTAATTAATATTTTTAATATTTTTAGTATTAAATATTAAAAATATTTTTACTAACAAGTATTTTTACAATTAAATATTAAAAGTATTTTTACTAACCAATATTTTTACAAATAAATATTAAAAGCATTTTTACTAATGAATATTTATAATATTTTTACTACTAAATATTAAAAGAAATATAATAGAGGAAATGTTTTTAATTATTTTGTAATAAAAAAAAATATTTATTTATTTAATGTTCTTTCTTGAAAAGTAAGAAGAAAAATTGAATTTTTTTCAGGGTATTTCACTTGGTAAAAAGACATTGAACGATGGCTCGCCAATAATAGCGATTTTAGTATTTTCATGTAATCGTGTAAGCGTGAAACGTTGTCTCGATCAATTAATTAGTTTGAGACCGAGTGCCGAGCAATTTCCAATAATTGTCTCACAAGATTGTGACGATCAGCCAACGGCAAATGTCATTAAAAGTTATAAGGATCAATTGCTTCATATTAAACAACCGGATCAATCGGACATTGAAATACCATTGAGGGAGAAGAAATTTAAGGGCTATTTTAAAATAGCACGACATTATGGCTGGGCATTGAATCAAGTATTTATTGAATTTGGATATCAAACAGCCATTGTTGTTGAAGGTAAAAAAAGAAAATAATTTTTCAAACAAAAACAGGCGAAGAAAAGAAAACGAAATAATATTCATTTTTATTTAATTTATTAGATTGATTGAAAATTGAAATATTATTTTAATTGCATTTTTTCATTATATTGTACTTTTAACTATTCATAAGTATTCTCAAGTATTTATAAATGTTTTTTTAGTAGTTTATTGTATTTTGAACTATTTTCTTATATTTTTATGTAGTTGAAAATATTAGGTACCTGTAATATTATGTTTAGGTTTCTCGAAATACTTTTTTGTATTTTTAAGTATTTTACTGTGTTTTTAAATATTTTTTATAATTTTGCAATACTTAGAATTACTTCTTATTACTTTGGAATGTTTAGAATTACTTTTAATTATTTTAAACTACTTTTTAATATTTTTGAAATATTTTAAAGTATTTTTAGATTTTTCGAAATTAGTTTTTACTATTTTTAAAATATTGTAAAGTAGGTATTTTTTGGGTTTTCAACTATTTTCAAATTTTTTCAAATATTTTGAATTAGGTTAATTATTTTAAACTATTTTTTAGTATTTTTCAAATATTTTTAACTACTTTGAAGTGTTTTAAAGTTTTTCAACTATTTTAAATTATTTAAAACTATTTAAAAATATTTTTAGTTATTTTCAACTATTTTTTACTATTTTAAAATATTAAGTATTTTTTCTGTGTTTTTAGCTCTTTTCCAGTATTTTCTAGTATGTATTTTGAACTACTTTGAAGTATTTTTAGGGTCTTTCGAAATATTTGTTTTTTGTATTTTAAAGTACTTTTTATGTGTTTTTAAATATTTTTTTAGTATTTTTAAATATTTAGAATTACTTTTAATAATTTTAAACTACTTTTTAGTATTTTTGAAGTATTTTCAACTACTTTGAAATATTTTAAAGTATTTTTAGGGTATTATGGACTATTTTTAATTTTTTTAAAATTATTTTAAACTATTTAAAAATATTTTTAGTTTTTTCGAAACTATTTTTTACTATTTTAAAATATTTTAAAGTAGGTATTTTTTGGGGTTTTAACTATTTTTTAGTATTTTGAATTATTTTGAACTATCTTGGTTTAAAGTCATTTAAACAATTTCTTACTATTTTTGAAATATTTTTAACTATTTTGAAATATTTAAAAGTATTTTAAAGTATTTTGAACTATTTTAAAAATTTTTCTATTATTTTGAAATATTTTTAATTATTTTACACTTTTATTTAATATTTTTGAAATATTTTAAAGTATTTTTTAATTATTTTAAACTACTTTGAAGTATTTTAAGGTTTCTCGAAACTATTTTTTTCTATTTTTAAAATATTTAAAGTATTTTTAAGTTTTTCGAAACTATTTTTTACTATTCTTAAGTATTTTGAATTATTTTGTATTATTTTAAACTTTTTATTAGTATTTTTGAAATTCTATTTTAAAAAATTTTAAACTATTTTCAAGTATTTTTAGGTATTTTTAACGGTTTTTTAAAATTTTGAATCATTTTTTTAAAACTTTTTCATTTCCTAATTAGTTTATTTGTTTTATATTTTATTTATATTAATTAATAACTTATTAATTAACATTTATTCTTTTTTTTATTCTCTAATTATTCTTTTCTTTTTCTTTTATTTCCTTTTCTTATTCGTTTTTTTTGTAATTAATTATTAAATATTTATCAAAAGAAAATATGTTAAGTTTTTCGAAAAAAAAATTTAATTTAATTTTTGCAGATGATCTCGATATTTCTTCGGACTTTTTTGAATATTTCTTGGGCACTTATCAACTTTTAGTGAATGATAAATCGCTGTGGTGCGTTTCCGCTTGGAATGATAATGGAAAAGAAACATTAGTCGATGAGCAAGCGCCTCATTTACTTTATAGAACTGACTTTTTCCCTGGTCTCGGTTGGATGTTGACGCGTGATCTTTGGCTCGAACTTGGTCCCAAATGGCCACGAGCGTAAGTAACAAAAAAAAGGAAAATTAAATAAACTAATCTTTCCTTTATTCATTTTAATTTATTACTTTCTTTTAAAAAAATATAAAAAGAATGAAAAAATTAATTATTTCACTTGAATAATGAAATTATTATTTTTTTTAAAGTTATTGGGACGATTGGATTCGACATCCAGAGCAGAGAAAAAATCGAGCTTGCATTCGACCTGAATTGTCGAGGACAAGAACTTTCGGCAAAATTGGCGTTAGCAAGTATGGAAAATTTAATTTTAATTTTAAAAAAAAAATATAATTATAATTTAACTTCTTTTTCATTAAAATTAATTTTTTAAAACTTTTCTAATTATTTTTTTTCAGTGGACTTTTCTATGAGAAACATCTAAAGTTTATCATGCTTAACAAGAAATTTGTGCCTTTCACGAAAATGAATTTAACTTATTTGCTAAAAGTGAGTAATATCCGAATTTTTTACTTTCAAATTAAAAAATACAAATTAAATTTTTTAATGCCCTTTTTTCTGTTACTAAAAAGTAAATTTCGAATAAAAGAAAATTAGAACATTGATTTTCATTTTTTCCTCTTTTAAAAAATTTTTTTTTTTCGAAAAGGACAATTATGACATCAACTTCGTGAAGGAAGTATTTCAATCGAGAGTGGTGAATAGTTCAGTATTGAAGAGTGGAAAAATCATTCCACCGAGTCCCATAAGGATTCGTTATAATAATCCCATCGAATATAAAATGACGGCGAAAAAACTCGGTCTAATGGACGACTTTAAGGTAAAACTTAATACATTTTTCTTTTTAAATATTATTATTCACTGTGAATGATAATTTTTCTATTTTTTTAATTTATAGCAAAAAGAAACAAATTTTTTCTTTAAGAACAAATTTAATTTTCAAATTTTTACTCAAAAAAGGTCAGAATTTTAAATAAAAACATGAATTTTGATTTCAAGAGTTTATAATTTTATAAAGAAACAAATGAATTTTTATTCTAAACGTTCAGAAATTTATTTAAAAAAAATTAATTTTTATACGAAAAACTCTGAATTCTTTCTTTAAGGATTAAATTTTATGATATAAAAGAATTGAATTTATAAAGTTCACAAATTCATACAAAAAAAAAGAATTTTGAATAAAAAATTTAGAATTTATACAAAATTCTAGAAAAATGAATTTTTTATCATAAAATTTAGAATTTTGTATTAAAAAATTATATAAAAGAATGAATTTAATTTCTAAAAATTCAAAATTTTATGAAATACATTTAAATAATAAAATTTTGAATTTGAAATAAAAAGCGAAATGAATTTTTTGTTAAAAAATTAATTTTAATTAGTAACATTCAAAATTTTATAAAAAAAAAAAATTTTTGTTGTAAAATCAAGAATTTAAATTTAAAAAAAATGAGTTTTGATTAAAAAAAAAAAATTAAATTTTTCGAGTAAAAATTGCAAATCTTTACTCGAAAGAGGTCACAATTTTAAATAAAAAACATGAATTTTGATTTCAAAGTTTATAATTTTATAAAAAAAAAATGAATTTTAATTCTAAACATTCGGAAATTTATTTTAAAAAATTAATTTTTATTCGAAAAATTCAGAATTCATTCTTTAAAAGGAACAAATTTTAAATCACAAAATTAAAAATTTTATTGATCAAAAAGAATTGAATTTATAAAGTTCACAATTTTATATGAAAAATATTGTGAATTTTGATTAAAAGATTTAGAATTTATACAAAATTCTAGAAAAATGAATTTTGAATCGTAAAATTCAGAAATTTCAATTAAAAAATTGTATAAAGAAATGAATTTTAATTCTAAAATTATTCAAAATTTTATGAAATAAATTTAAAATCATAAAATTTTGAATTCTAAATAGAAAACGAAATGAATTTTTATTTAAAAAATCCTGAATTCTAATTAAAAAATTACTTTTAATTCGTAACATTCAAAATTTCGTTAAAAAGAAATTAAAATCGCAATATTTAAAATTTTCAATTAAAAAATTGTATAAAAAAATGAATTTTAATTTTAAAATTATTCAAAATTTTATGAAATAAATTTAAATCATAAAATTTTGAATTCTAAATAGAAAACAAAATGAATTTTAATTTAAAAAATTCTGAATTTTAAGTAAAAAAATTAATTTTAATTCGTAATATTCAAAATTTAGTGAAAAAAAATTAAAATCGTAAAATTCAGAATTGAAATAAAAACAAAATGAATTTTGATTAAAAAAATTCAGATTTTTGTATTAAAAAATTATATAAAAAAATTAATTTTTATTCTAAAAATTGAAAATTTTAGGAATTAAATTTAAGTCAAAAAATTCTGAATTCTAAATAAAAAACAAAATGAGTTTTTATTTAAAAAATTCAAAATTCAGAATAAAATGAACTTTAATTAAAAAAATTTAGAATTTATTTTGAATTCTAGAAAAATGAATTTTGAACCGTAAAATTCAGAATTTTGTATTAAAAAATTATATAAAAAAATGGAATTTTAATTCTAAAAATTCAATATTATATGAAAAAAAAATTTTTGATTCATGAAATTAAGAATTGAAATAAAAAACTAAATAAATTTTGATTAAGAAAACTTAAGCATTTCATTTAAAAAATGAATTTTAATTCTTTAAATTTAGAATGTTAAATAAAAAAGCGAATTTTAATTTGTGTAAACAAATATTTCATAAAATTCAAAATTTAATGAAAAAAAAATTTAATTCGTAATGCAGAATTTAAATAAAAAACCAAATGAATGTTAATTCGTAAAATTCATAATTTCGTTTAAATGTACCTAAAAATTATGTAAAAATTTTACATAAATGAAATTAATTAATGAAGTTTTTATTAAACAATTTTGAATTTTATGTAAAAACATGAATTTTAAATTGTAAAATTAAGAATTTTACATTTAAATAATCTGAACCTTAAATTTATTTTCTCCACAAAAATTGAATTAAAAAACAAAAATAAATTTAATTTTTAGAGCGGAGTACCGAGAACCGGTTATAGGGGAATTGTGACATTTTTCTATAATAAATTACGAGTATATTTGGCACCTGGTTACAAATGGAATGGCTACGACATCGCTTGGAGCTAACACATAATTCGTCGTTATGCTCGCGAACTATAATTTTATTTATTTTCTTCCATTTGATTTTTAAAATCACATTTTTCTTTCTTTATTTCTCAACAAAAAAAAAAAAAAAAACAAAAAAAACAAAAAAAAACAATGCAAAGAGAGATGTAAGACAAACAAACTTGCCGCAATTTTTTCGAAAAATATTTTTATCAACTACTTTCCATTTTTTTCTCTCTTTTATTATTAATTTTTTTTGTAATTTTTTTTCTTTATAAAAAGAGTAAAAAATAGAAGAAGAAGAAGATAATTTTTTATTGAAGTACAGTTTTAGAGACAGAAAAACCAAAGATTTTTTTTAATTCAAGTAAATATTAAATACCGTGAAAATCGTGGCAAAATGACTCGTGAAAAAATTTTTTTTAAAGGATTTTTCTTTACAATTTTTAATCTCGTATTTTGACTGAAATGATAATTCCATTATTTTTTAATTTTCTTTTTTTAAAAAAAGAAGTAATTGTTATTGAATAATACAATGAGTGCCTGCAACGATCTTTCGATTTCTGCTGTAAATAGAAATTTTAGCTTTTTATTAATTTTTTATATCTAATCCCTGTGATTTATTTTTAAAATTTTTCTCTCTTTTCTCTTTTAATGTTTTTTTCACTTATTTTTGAATTTTTTTGTCAGTTTTTTTTATTTTTCTAACTTTTTGCTTTTTTTTATTTTTTCTCTCTTCCATTGCATCTATTTTAAATCCTTCTTTAATTTTTCACATATTTTGTTTTTACAATATTTAAAATATAAATTATTTTTTCTTCTTTTTTTTTTGTTTTTCTGTTTTTTAAAAATTTTTTTCAAACACGAGTTCCTGTGAATGTAAATAATTCTTGTAAATAATGTAAAACGTAAAATTTATCGTTAGTAAGAAAAAAGAAAATTAAAATAGTAATTACATCTTTGAAAAAGAAAGAATTTATCGAATAATGTTAGAAGTGACTTTCCATTAATGAATATTTGCTATAAAGCACTTTTTCTCTCTCTATGAACATAAAATATAATAAAAAAAAATATTTAGACTAGTGTTTCGTTCGATAAAAAAAAATTCGCGTCTTCCGTACAAATTTTATTTTTCCGCTAATATTCAAATATTTGAAATTTTCTCCATTTTTAAAAATATTCCCTCCGCTAGCTAAGTAAATAAATAAACACTGTATATAAAAATTTAGTGCAAAAAAAAATTATTTAAACGCTTTATGTTCAATTTATAGAGCATAGCTTTACATATATATATATATTTGTGTCGAAATGTTATGAGAAAATTACGATAAATTAAAAATATAGAATGCAAATTGTTTTATTACAAAAGAAAATTGTAATTATTCAATTTTTTCATTTAAAAATTTAAATTATTTTTATATTTTTTAATTGTTTTTCCTTAAATGGTTCACGTCTCGGATATTATGACCTTTTCGACTTTTTTCCTCCTTATTTTAAAAAATTACGACTTTTTCGACTTTTCCTCCAAATTTTGCGACAAAATGCCTTATTTTTGGTATAAAATGCAACTTATTTCGATTTTTTTTTATTTTTATAGCATAACTATAGACAAATATTAAAAAATTTATTTTTGAATAATTTTTCTAATTAAATTTTTTAAAATACAATTAAAAAGATTTTGAATAATTGAAATTTTGTAAAATTTACTATTTTGGAATTTTTGAGAAATTATTCATAATTAAAATTCTTCGAATATTTGATTATTTTTTAAATATTTTTTAAAAACTTAATTATTTTTAAAAGATTTTATCATATTTCAATTATTCTTCAAAAATTTTACTAAATTTAAATTATTTTTGAAAAGATTTTACCCAATTTCAATTTTTTGGACATTTTTTAATTGTATACGTAATATTTGTAAAACTATTGTTTTTCAAAAATTATTTAGAAATATTTTTAAAAAGTGAATTTTACGAATTTCTTTATTAAAAACTTTGAAAATTTATTTTTGAATAATTTTTCTAATTAAATTTTTGAAATAAACAATTAAAAAGATTTTGAAATAATTGTAGTAATTTTGTAAAATTTAAATTGAAGATAAATCATTATTTCAAATATTTTAATACAATTTTTAAAAATTAAATTTTAAAGAATTTTAATTGAAAATATTTTTGAAATAATTGAATTCTCAAAAATTTTAATGAATAATCTTCAAGTGTAAATTGAATAAAAATGAAAATTAACGAAAATTAGGTTCTAAAAATAATATTAAAATAGTTTTGAATAAAGTAATTCTCTGAATTATTTCATTCATAATTTTTTTAAATTTCACTTATTTTCAATATTTTCGATATTCAATATTTTCAAATATTTCCAAAAATTCATAACATTCAAAATTTTTAAAATTATTTTTAACATTTTGGAGAAAATAATCATATTAAAAATTTTTAATTAAAATTCTTCAAAAAAATTTTTTAATTTAAATTGTACAAAAATTATTCAATTATTTTCATAATTTTTTAAGATTCAATTATACCTTCGAACAAAGTAAATTAAAATTCTTTAAAATTTACTATTTTGGAATTTTTGAGAAATCATTTATAATTAAAATTCGTCCAAAATTTGATTATTTTTTTATATTTTTAAAAAAACTCAATTATTTTTAAAAAGGTTTTATCAAATTTCAATTATTTTTTAGATTTTACTAAATTTAAATTATTTTTTAAAAGATTCTACCAATTTTTTGGACATTTTTTAATTATGAATGTAATTGTAAAACTATTGTCTTTCAAAAATTATTTAGAAATATTTTTAAAAAGTTAATTTTACGAATTTCTCTATCGAAATTTTTGAAAATATTCTATACCATTAATATCTTTAAAAAGAAAAGTGGACGTTTTCAATTATTAAAAGAAATTTAATTTTTGTATTTAAATAATTGATTATTTCTTTAACTAAGAAATTTCGAAAAATTATTAAAAATTGATATAAATAATTGATTTAGAGATGAAGTTTAGTTAAAAATTGTAGAAAATAATTGAATTTTTCGAAAGGTTACAGTTTTAATTTTTAGAAATTTTATTAAATTTTTTAAATTTCTATTTTTTAATCGACTAAAGCGACTTTTTTTGTTCGTTAAAGTCGATCCAAGGCCTGATGGTTTTTTATTTTTATAATTATTCTTAAAAAGTTACTTATTTTCATTGTAAAAAAAACGATTTTTCTTTACGAAAAAGTCGAATTAGTGAAATTTGAAATTTAAATTTCCCGCCAGAAAACTACCGTTAAGGTCTAGGGTGCGTTTTGTAACTAGGCCATGAGTGTGAAAGAGATGGAGATATAATATTTGCTCTCATGGCCTAGTAACAAAAAACAACGCAGAACGGTGACATGTGAATGCACCTTTAGTATTGAAACAACAGGGGTTTTAGTGTGCGAACTGTTAAGAACGCACCCGTATTTTTGAAAACTTGCATAACTACCCAACCCTGATAAGAATCTAGTGACAATAATAAAATCACTAACCGCGTTAAATCTGGTGAAATCTAGGAATTTGTGGGATTTTTTTTTCATCAAAAATAGGTTATGACAGATTAAATCCCAGACATCGATCAGATCTGACATCGATGTGTATGTCTGGAGATTAAAAAGAATAACAAAATTTTCTAAACACAATTATTATTTATAAAGAGATAAAAATTAGTTTTTGAATTTAGAAAATAAAAAATAATGGTTATAACTGATAAACATCATCTTCCAACGGAAGAGGAATTAACCGTTGAAGAAGTTAAATTAAGTTTTCCGACTCTTCAAGCAGGAGCTTTTCATCTCGGAAAATATTGTCAGCCACAAAATAATGTAAGTGTTAAAAATTTCGATTTTTAAAATAATATTTTCTCGTTCTTATTTTTTTTGTTTTTTTGGCATTAATTTTGTTTTTAAGAAAAAAAGAATAGAATTAAAATTCTCGATTACATAATAATTCCTCTATCTTCACATAACCTAAAAATTTGACAAATTTTTTGTTTTTAACGTTTTTAAAAATAAGAATAATGGACAATTTTTTTAATTTTCTTTAGGAATTTATGTTATGTCGTGCAGAGTATCCAAACGATTGCCGACAATGTATAGATTATGGCAAGGAGGTTACTTCTTGTACATTAGAATTTTTTAGGAAATTAAAGAAGACATGCTTAAATGAATTTACAACGTATGTGAGATGTATTGAAAGATCCAGTGGGGATTATCAATTTCATCCGTAAGTAGAAGAGAAAATGAATTATTTAAAAAAAAATGGAAGTAATTGTTGTTAAAAAACACATCAAATTTTGGCAAAATATTTTTTTGAAGGCAATAAAGGTCTGGCAGACAGCGACAAAGGTACATAAATTTTTGTTGAAGGACAAAAACTGACTTTCAGTCTTCATTGTTTGATTGATAAAACTGAGGAAATAAATAAAAAAAATAAAATAAATAAATTAATAACTTACTGGCTGATTAACAAAATAACTAAGTAAATAAATAAAGTAACTAATTACAGGGTTGCCACAAAAATTTAATTTTGTTTTTCCCTGATCTGATTTTCAGACAAAATTTTGGCTTTTTCCCGGAACCCTAAAGAATATTCTGATTCACTCTGAAAATAATTAGATTAATGATAAAATCACTATTTTATATTATAATACAAGAATATTGTTACTCTAACTTCTTCAAAAATTATTTTCATTATTTTAATTCAATTATTATTTTCTACAATTTTTAAATAAAATTCTTCTTTAAATCAATTATTTTTAATAATTTTTGAAAAAGTTCTTCTTTGAGAATTTTTAAATCCATTTGTTTACAATTCAATTATACGTGAAATTTCAATTATTCGGAAATTCTTCAATTAAATAAATTAGAAATTAAAAACTTCAAATAATTAAAAAAATTCCATTAAACTTTTTGAGAAAAATTAATTCTAAATTCTCCGCAAGAATTCAATTATTTTCAAAAATGATAAAATTCTTCGTAAATATTCTTCGGAAATTTGATTAAAATTTTATTAAAAATAAATGAATTTCTCCAAAGAGAAAAGAGTTTTTGAAACTTTTTTTTTTATAAGAGTTTTTGAAAATAATTGAAATTTTGCCAAGAATTTTATTAAAAATTTTGAAAATATTTGAATTTCGGAGAAAAATTTATAAAGATTATTGAAATTTGATTGAAATTGAATTCTTGAGACGAATTTTGTTAAAATGTCTTTTTAAATAATTGAATTTCTTTAATAAATTTTGGAAAAAAAAAATTTTTTAATAATTTTTGGAAAATTCTATAAAAGTAGTAGATTTATTAAAAATCATTGTATTGATAAAAGTTTTTGAAAATAATTGAAATTTTGCCATGAATTTTATTAAAATTGTTGGAAATAATTGAATTTCTAAGAAGAATTTTACTACTTTTGAAAATAATTGAATTTCTGCAATCATTTGTAATTGCTTCAAAATTCAATTTCTTTTAGTGTTTTTAATTAAAATTCTTCTATAAAACCATTATTTTTAATAATCAATTAAAAATATATATTAAAAAATTTAACTCATTTCAGAAGAATTGGAATAATTAAAATTTCTCAAAAATCTACGTTCTTTAAGACGATTTCTAACTAAATTCATTCAAAATTGAAATTTTATATAATTAGTTATATAGGATTTTTAATTAAAAGTATGAAAAATTCAGGTTTTCAAAGATTTTAATTTTTGAAACCTTTACAAAATTCAATTATTTCTAAAAATTTCAATTATTAATAACTTCTCTAAAATTCAATTATTATCTAAAACATTAACTGAAATTAATGTTTAAGTACATTTTTATTAGAAATTTCTACGAGAATTCAATTATTTAAATACAAATAAAATGCAAATAAATAATTTATTGAATAATTGAATGTTTCTTAAAATTTAATTCTTATACATAATTTTATCAACAAATTTTTAAATTGGTAGTTAAATTTTTTCGACGAATTCTGCAATGAGTTTTATTATTTATGAAAATAATTGAATTATTGGGAAGAATTTATTTTTTGAAAATAATTCAATTCCTGGAAAATTCTAATAACTTTTAATAGCGAGATTTATCATTTTTTTTAAACAAAAATTTATGTACATTTTTTCTCTTACTTTCGAAAAAGTAGCCTTTGAACAATAATCATATTTTTCTCGATTTCTCTACATCTCAATGTAAATACCTATAAAAATAATTTTAGATGTCGTAGAACACAAAAGGTGTTGGACAAATGTGTGTTGGCTAATTTTAATATCGAGCGTCCAAACATTGAATACTATTCGGCGCCAAAAATTGTGGACACAAAGAGACCACCGCCACCAAAGGACCCAAAACTCAAATTTCCAGACGCAACTCCCGGTTTATCGGAAGACGCACCACTACCAGAATCATCATACCCGTATCGTGAAGTCTTCGCTTAAGAAAAAAGAAACGATAAGAAAACAATTAATATTCTGGTTTAACATAGTCATAGTAATGAAAATAAAAAAACATTTATTGTTCCATTATGTAAAATAAAAAAAAAAGAAAGCATGGAAAAAAATATTTAATAAAATATGAAAATAAATTAAAAACTTTGCCTCTGTTTACCGCATTTTCAAAACTTTTATTATCAGGCGCGCTTTTTTTCGAAATGACCTATGTTTAAAGAAAACATTTTTTTCGGAAAAAGACGAAAATTTGACCATTTTTCTTCAAAGTACAAAAAAATTCACAACTTGTACATTTTATGACAAAAAAAAATGGTTAAATGTTACTTAATTATAGACTTAAAATAATACTCAAGTTTAAATAAATTTAAATCATTTTTTCTATTTCAAACAAAATTCCTGAAAAACGCTTGAAAATCAGCCTCCAATTGTGGTTTTCCCCCTTAAAGAAAAAAAAACACAAGTTGCTTAAGTTTAAAAATTTAATAAAACTTTATTTTTCCTATTATTTACTATAAATAGTGATTTTTTTTACAATAAAACTCGTAATTACATAAAAGTCGAAGAATTTCTCGACGAGAGTCAGCAGTCTTTTTATTAATTGATAATAATAATAATAAAAATAATTTTTTTACAAAATATATGTACATTGAAAATAAAAATTAATATTTTTCTGTAAAAGAAATTTCTTCAAACGATAAATATTAATTATACAGTTAAAACAATTAAATTTTTTCGAACAAATTACAATTTTTTAAAATTAAGAATCAACTATTAGAAGATAAAATATTCAAATTTTGAAAGTTGTGAAATTTTTTAAAGTATTTTTTTTTCTATAAAATAAAAATTTTAGTCTAAAGATAAAATTTTTTTGGAAAGTAAAAATTTTAAAGTGTAAAATTAACAATAAATTAAAACAAATAATTCGATATTTATTTATTATTAAACTTTTTTAAATTTTACGGTACTTTTAAAGTAAAATTATAATTTTTAAACAATTTTTGCTGTAATTTTCAAAAAAATTTATTAAATTTTAAATATTACAGTACAATTTATTAAATAAATTTAAATTTCTATTGAAATTTTACAGTAAAATGTAAAGTAAATTAAAAAATATTAAAATTTAATTTATTTATTATTCGGATTTTATAAATTTTACTGTGATTTTACACACTAGATCTTTGATATTCAATAAAATTTAGTGTAATTTTACTGTAAATTACTATTTTAAATAAAGTTTAATGGAATTTTACAGTAAAATTTTAATTGTACAGTCAAATTTAAATTTTACTGTAAAATTACAGTAGAAATTATTAAGACTTAATTTTTCATTCTAAAATCACAGTATACATTAAAAAATAAATATTTTACTTCAATTTTAGTGCAAATTTAAAACAGAATGAATAAAATTTTTAAATTATTCAAATTTTTTAAATTTTACTGTAATTCTTGAAAATAAAATTTCCTCTTTACAATATAATTTTAATTTCGCAGTGAAATAACAGTAAATTTTATTCAAAATATAAAATTACATCGTAAAATTACTTTTAAAAATGAAAATTTTCAAGTAAAATTTGTAATCTTTAATAAACTTTACTATAAATTTTGTAGCAAAATTTTAATTTTTAATAAATTTTATACCAAAAACTTGTAAAATTTTTAATTGTTAATAAATTTTACTGTAATTTTATATAGAAAAATTTGAATTTTCAATAAATATCATTTTACATTTGAAGTCAAATTTTGTAATTTAATTCTAAAATTTCATTCCATAAGTTTCCTTAGAATTTGACTGTAAAATCACAAATTTTAAAATCAAATTTTATAAAAATGCTATTCTTTTATTGTAAAATTATCAACTTTTAATCAATTTTATTTTTTAATTTACCTTTTAAATTTTAAGTTTGAATAAATTTTACTGTAATTTAGTAGTGAAATTTTTTTTTACGTTAGAATTACAAATTTTACAGTAAAATTTATTAAAATAGAATGTTTTTGTAAAATACTAGTTCTTTTAATAAATTTTACTCGTAATTTTTCAAAAAAAATTTAATTCACAATGAATTTTACTTTTATTTGTTGTAAAAGTTTTAATTGTCAATAAATAAATGTAAAGTATAAAGTAACATTTTAAAAAATGAAATTTTTTATTGTACAAATCAGCTTTTAATCAAATTTTTATATTCAATTTTAATATTGAATAAATTTTACTTTAATTTAGTAGTAAAATTTTAATTTTGAATAAATTTTACTCTAATTTAGTAGTAAAATTTTAATTTTGAATAAATTTTACTCTAATTCAGTAGTAAAATTTTAATTTTGAATAAATTTTACTCTATTTTAGTAGTAAAATTTTACTTTTGAATAAATTTTACTCTAATTTAGTAGTAGAATTTTAATTTTGAATAAATTTTACTCTATTTTAGTAGTAAAATTTTACTTTTGAATAAATTTTACTCTAATTTAGTAGTAGAATTTTAATTTTGAATAAATTTTACTCTAATTTAGTAGTAACATTTTAATTTTGAATAAATTTTACTCTATTTTAGTAGTAAAATTTTACTTTTGAATAAATTTTACTCTAATTTAGTAGTAGAATTTTAATTTTGAATAAATTTTACTCTAATTCAGTAGTAAAATTTTAATTTTACTGTAGAATTTCAAATTTTACAGTAAAATATCAGTTCTTTTAATAATTTTTACTCGTAATTTTTCAATAGAATTTTACTTTAATTTGTTGTAAAATGTTTCATTGTCAATAAATTTTACTGTAAAATTTTATACAGTAAAATTATAATTTTCAATAACTTTCATTTTACTTTTGTATAGTCAAATTTTGTAATTTAATTCTAAAATTTTATTTCGTAAGTTTCCTTAGAATTTTAAAGTAAAATTTATAAGAAATAAAATTTTTTATTGTAAAATTATCAGCTTTTATTCAATTTTATTTTTTAATCTTCCTTTTAAATTGCAATTTTTAATAAAATTTACTCTAATTCAGACATTTAGTAGTAAAATTTCTATTTTACTGTAAAATTACAAATCTTATAGTAAAATTTATTAAAATACAATTTTTTTCTATAAAATTTACCAGTTCTTTTAATTTAATTTTTCAGTAAAATTTTAATTCACAATTACTTAATTTTACTTCAATTTTGTCAGTGAAATTATAAAATTAGTCCGTAATTTTTTATAAATAAATAAAATTAATTAATTATAAATTTACTTTAAAATTCATTTTTTATTTTACTGGATAATACAAATATTATTTTAAAAATTGAAAATTACTGTAAAACTTCCATTTGTTTCAGTAAATTTACACTTAAACTTTGAAAAAAAAATAAAAACTTTTACTTTCAAACTAAAATGGAAAATAAAAGAAGAATTTTCATATTTTTCTCAATCTCAATAAATAGTAGTTATAAAAAAATTTTGTTCTTTACTGTTTTATTTTGAAATAGAAAAAAATTGTAATACTGAATAAATTATTTTTGACATATTCCTAAAACAATGTTTGTTACAAATAATTTTTTTTGTTACTAAATTGCCAAGAAAAATATCCACTTTTTTAATACTTATTAAGTTAAAATCGTCGTCGTCGTCGTCAGTTTTAATATATATATATATATTCTTTCTAATTAGGAATATTTTATTTTTTGATAATTAAGGATTAATTCCATCGACTTAAATTAAAAGTTAATCATTGATTAAAGCCATTTTAACGGTTCATGATTAGTTGATTGAGGATTTAATAATTAATTTTTAATCGATATTGGTGAAACTGGTCCTAAAATTATCAAAAGATAATTAAATATTATCAAAAAGATAATTAAATTCTAATTAGTCCTTAATTGATAGTCACCATTTTGTGTAATATAACGAACCCATGGTAACGCTTGATAGCCGCTCTTCTCAATAATTTTCAAATATCTCACCTGAATACCAGAGGTCGTAAAATATGGTATTTCAAATTTCACTTGTATCGGCGGTTTACCCTCAACATCCTCACTAACAACCGATGGTAAACCAAAATGTGCCCTCATTAAAAATTCCTTACCACCAGGAAATGATTTTATAGACCACGTTATTGCACTCTGCTCCGGTGAATATTTAACATTACCAATTGTTGTCTTAAATTTCGGCGAATCAGCATCATTTGGCACTGGTATGACAATTTCCACATTATTAGCCGTCGATCGCCGCTTGAATTGTGAACGTGCCTTTATCATATATTCCACGCGGCTATGCGCATGACGCTCAATTAACGATTCAATCCAAATCAATGGCTTCACATGTGTATTCAAACGATAGGACATTAATTCAAAATCACCATCAGGCGGTATAAACGATATTGTCCTATCGTTCTCAAATCTCGATAGACGCACGCATTGATGAAATTTCACGTCCTCAAGTTCAACGGACTTTGATTTTCCCCTACCGGTCGATTCAAAAAGTACCTTATCATTCAATCCAAGCCTCAATTCAGGCATTCCCGATAAGTACACACGCATTTTAATAGCGCCAACAATTTCCGAACTCAACACATTACCATTTGCGTTCGCCAATAAATTCACCGATTCAATAACATCGAGGAATACTTCATTTTTACGATATTTTATGCCCTCTGAACGCCATGAGACGGCGTTTGTCACTGCCATTGGAATACGTGGTTGTATCTCCAATTTATGACCCTCTTGCGTTATGTATTCTTGGAGAATTTTACTGTCTGTCGTTTGTGGATAACCAAAATCGAGTAATTCGTCTAATAATTCGTAGATAACGATGAAATTATCGCGTATACTTTCCTCCTCGAGTTCCTTGAAATATTCACTCATTACTTGAACGATTTTGTGTAGGAATACAAATACCAATGATATGTTGGCATTTTTTTTTGTGGTTGAGACAATATAGAGATTATTGTATTTTATATAGGAATATGTGCAATCGTCGGTTTGTATTATTGGCGTTAAATTACCCTCCTCCTCACGTTCCAATACCAATGGCATGAATTTGTCGATTAAACCTGATTCAATGTCGCCACGATAATTTCTTGAAATTAATACTTTTCCCTTTACGTCGAGAATATTAATTGCCGAGGTCGACATCTCGGCATTCTTCGTAGCTGAAATTAAAAAATTTTTAAATATTCAAAAATATTCTTTTGAAGTGGAAATTTAATTTCTAATAAATTCAGACCTCGGATCGACTTTAAGGTGCAAAAAAAGTCGCTTTAGTCGATTTAAAATAGAAAAAAAGTCGAAAAAGTCGTTCATTTAATTCAGTGTCGTCACAAAAAATTTTATTTTTTATTTTTCTGATCTTTCACTGATTTCTAAATTTAATTATTCCAAACTAGAATGATTTCGTTAAATAAATATTAAAATACTTCTTGTTTGTTTTTATACGGGAAAAAATTTTTAAAACTTTCTGAAATTTAATAACTTCTAAAAATTACAACTTTAATTCTCTTAAAATTCAATTATTTTCTACAATTTTTAATCAAACTTCTTCTCGAAATCAATTATTTTTAATAATTTTCCAAAAGTTCTTAGAGAATTCAATTATTTTAATACAAAAATTAATTTTTTTATAATCATTGTAACTGTCTATGTTTAATAAGTTATTAATTAATTTTCAAAAATTTATAATAAAGAAATTCTTAAAGTTAATTTTTCAAAAATATTTTTAAAATAGTTTATGAAATGTAATAGTTTTTAAATATTATATACAATTGAAAAATTTCCAAAACAATTAAAATTTGGTAAATTCTATTCAAAAAAATAATTGAATTTTTAAAGAATTTTAATTATTAATGTAAAAAAAAAATCTCAAAAATTTTGATTAATCTAAAAAAGTAAATTTAAAAAAAATTTTAATTTACTGTGTTCGAAGTTAATTCAATCTTAAAAAATTAAGATAAAAAAATTACAAGAAAAAGTTTTTTTCTAAATATTGGAATTAAATTTTTTCGAAATGAATTAAATTTCTTCAATGAACTTTTGTACCTATAATTAAAAAAATTTTTTTTCCAAGAATTTTGATTAAAAATTTTGAACATGATTGTTATATATTATTAAAATGTTAAAAATAATTGTAAACAATTTTAATGTTATATTTTTTGTATGTATTTGAATTTTTAGAAATTTGTACTTAAAAATATTGAAAATAATTCAATTTTAAAAAATTAGAATGCAAAAATTCTAAGAATTTAAAAAAAATTATTCTTTAAAAATATTTTTTAATATTATTTTTAGTTCAGTTAATTTTCATTAATTGACATTTTTAAATTTACACTTGAAGATTTTGCATTGAATTTTTGAGAAATCAATTATTTTTAAAAATTTGCAATAAAAATTCTTTAAAAGTTGATTTTTAAAAATTGTTATAAAAAACTTTGGAAAAATCAATTATTTTCAATTAAATTTTACAAAATTTAAATTATTGAAACTCTTTTTTATTGTAAATTTTGAAAATTTTATTTAGTATTTCTAAAAATAGTTGAATTGTTTTGAAGAAATTATTAAAAATTTTAGCAAATAATAATTGAATTTTATGGAAATATTTGAATTCTTACGAGAAATTCAATTAAATATGTTTTGAAAATAATTGAATTCCTGCAAAGAATTTTACTATTTATAAAAATAATTGAATGCTTGCGAATAATTTTGCCATTTATAAAAATAATTGAATTGTTTCCAAGGATTTATTAAGATTTTAGAAAATAATTGAATTTATTCGAAATATATAAAATATATAAAAAATTCAATTAAATTTTACAAAAATTTCAATTTTTTTTGAAACTCTTTTCAATTGTAAATTTCGAAAATAAGTTGCATTTTATACTAAAAATAATAATAATAATAGTAATTTTTTTAAATTCCTTAAACTCAATTGGCTCATCTCGGGACTTTTAGGAAAATTTTCTGTATATTATCAGTTATAAATAAATAAAGAAAAATTTAAATTATTCATGTCCAAATTAAAAAATAATTAATTTTTTTACATTAAAAATTTTTTTAAATAATTTTTTTTATACATTACTTTTTAACTAATGAAGAAAAACCAAAATTTTCTTTCTTTGACAACTTTTTTCTAAACTCAATACTTTCAAAATTATAAGCTACTGAAAATAGGTCAACTTTTAAAAATCCCAAATTTCGAAAATTCATAACTCGAAAATTTGGACCTATTTATTCAAAAATAAAAAAATACGTATTTAATATTTTTCTTTATAAACGAGAAAACAATATGTTTAACCGATTTTAAAATATCATAGGAAAATTTCACGTGGAATTGCCCATTTATATTAACATTTATAATTATTACTAATAAATAATAATTATTTGGGGGTTAACAATAATAATAAATTATTTACTTTCAATTTCTTAATTTAATGAAATAAAAATAATAAAATTGTTTTTTTAGAAATTCAATTTAATTTAAAAAATTAAAAAGAAACAACTGACAATACACAATAAAGCAAAGTAAAATTAGTAAATAAAGAATTAAACAATTCCACAAAGAAAGTTTTGACTTTTAATCACTGACAGTACAATGGACGCTTCACACGTGCAGCTTTATATTATAAAATTCGTAAATTAAATAATAAATATTATTAAAAATTTTTAACACTATTTCTGATAAACCTTAGTAAACTATTACATAAAATATATTTCCCTGCACAATGTAAATCAAGAGAAAAATTCTTTAAAAAATACAACATAGAAATTCACTAGGTCAGCCATTTTTACTTTTGATGACACATTTTAAATGTTTTTTTTTTTAAAAGGAAACAAAAATATAAAGTGTTTGTTGACTTTCATTAATTACTTACTGCGTCTTTTTAGATGAATAAAAAACAATTTCCAAAGAAATTAGTATTCCATTAATTCATTTATGTCTTTCTTTTGTATTTTATTGTCTATATATATACATATATTTCATAAAGATTTTCATAATAGAATTTTATCCTTGGATTTTATCCATTTTATCCGAAAGTGTGACACGAAAAAATTGCCACAGTGGCATAAGGGTTGGGAAACATTTCCATGATATTATGGTCGTAAAGGTTCATTCATAATGTGACAATTGTGGAAGTGACCGGCAGAAGGAACAAAAATGAAAGGGGCTTTAAGGCGCTTGCACACTTCCAAATTTTTAGGCGAGCAGCGAATTTTCACAACCTTGAAACTCACATTACTAAATATGATTGGCTCTGACAAAGTACATTTTCACGCAGCTTTTTGTAGAGCCAATCATATTTAGTAATGTGAGTTTCAAGGCCATGAAAATTCGCTGCTCGCCCAAAATTTTGGAAGTGTGCAAGCGCCTTTAGGGTGCTGAGCAGAAAACAGAATGCGAAGCAGAATTTCGTGAGTGCAAGAGAGAAAGTCAGATATCACTATCCTTTCCACTCTCACGAAATTCTGCTTTGCATTGTGTTTTCTGCTTAACATGGGACCGTACCGTAACAGTCAAACTAAAGGTGCGTTCATAATCGAAGAGAGTCGGTAAGTTGCCAAATGCGCGCCACTTTTTTGTTAACTGCCCAACCTTGCTTATTGAAATTTTCGGAAATTTCAATAAGCAAGGTTGGGCAGTTAGCAAAAAATTTAAAAAAAAAATCTTTCAGCAAGGTTGGGCAGTTGATGAAAAAATAAGAAAATGGCGCACTGGACAACTTATGGTACACCCTGAGGAGGCTGCGGTTACACCTCGGCAGCCTGCCTGCCTGCAGGTTGTCATGGTAACGTACAAGAGTATGAGAGTCAGTGACTTCAAACTTCTCCCTTACTCTCGTTGCTCCTGCCTGCGCAGGCAGGCAGCCTGCAGAGGTGTAACCGCAGCCTGATGCTTTAATGCCTTCTTTCCGGTTTTGACGGCGTTTTAAAAAGTCGTGACACATCTATAAAAATGTTGTTAGTCCGTGACATATAAGTTCGTTCATACGTCACGAAGTAACTAAATTTTAACCCCTTGACTGTGGATGACGTGTATACACGTCATGAAAAAAACTGGCCCAAACAGTGGATGACGTGTATACACGTCATGGCCCAAACAAGAAAACATCTTAACGTATATTCGCAAAAATTCTTACTCGGGGGTTTTTGGGGTCGCTGATCACGATTCTGAAGTCAGATTTTCAAAATAAATAATTTTTCAGCCAAAATGGCCGCCAACAATTTTGAAAAATTTTAAAAGTTGATAAATTCTTTTAAAAATTCTTACTCGGGGGTTTTTGGGGTCGCTGATCACGATTCTGAAGTCATATTTTTAAAATACAAAATTTTTCATCCAAAATGGCCGCCAAAATTTTAAAAATTTTAAAAGTAGATAAATTCTTTTAAAAATTGTTACTTGAGGGATTTGGGGTTGCTGATCACGATTCTGCAGTCATATTTTTAAAATACATAATTTTTCATCCAAAATGGCCGCTAAAAATTTTGAAAAATTTTAAAAGTGGATACATTCTTTTAAAAATTCTTACTCGGGAGTTTTTGGGGTCGCTAATCACAATTCTGAAATAAGATTTTCAAAATAAATAATTTTTTATACAAAATGGCCGCCAAAGATTTTGAAAAATTTCAAAAGTGGATAAATTCTTTTAAAAATTCTTACCATTTAAACTTTGAAAAACTAATAACAGATTTGTAATCAGCGACCCCAAAAACCCCCGAATAACGAATTTTAAGCGTATCCAATAAATTTTTCAAAATCTTGACCGCTATTTTGGATCCGCCTTTTTGAATTTTAAAAAACTAATGTCAGATTCGTAATCAGCGACCACGAAAACCCACGAGTAACGAATTTTAAGCGAATCCAAAGAATTTTTCAAAATCGTGTCCGCCATATTGAATTCGCCATTTTGAATTTTTGAAAATTAACACCGGAATCGTAATCAGCGACCCCAAAAACCTCTTAGTACCTAGTGTCATGAAAATTTATTCACAAGAAGGTCTTACACATTTTGGGACCATTTTGTTATATTTTAGCTACACACTGAAGGGGTTAATAGATATGATGTTTATGCAAAGAAAAATAAATAACACGAGCTTTAGTCTAAAGGTGCTTTCATAATCATACAACTAACAACTTGAATAATTGATTACTTGATAACTTGAATTGACATTACACCCAATATCATATGTATATGCTCTCCTTCCGGCTTGGACAACTTTTTGAAAAGTGGTGTGCCTTCTATAAGAATTTTTTAAGTCTATGGAGTATGATAAAGGCCAACGCAGAATAGATCTGTAACCGGAACCGCAATCGTAAAGGCCAACGCAGAATAGATCTGTAAACGGACCGCAATCGTAACCGTAAGCGTAAGAATGAGTTAGAGAAGGATAAACAATATACCTATCCTTCTTTAACTCATTCTTACGGTTACGCTTACGATTGCGGTTCTGGTTACAGATCTATTCTGCGTCCAAACCGGAAGGAAAGCATATATGATATTGGGTGTATTTACTGGAAACTAAATAAAAGAATGTAGATAGGATAAAAAAGGATAGGGACTTTAACCTAAAGGTGTTTTCATATTCATACAACTCGATTAGAAGCCAAGAAAAAAAAAAAAATTTTCTCAAAAATAGAACAATTTTATTTTTTTACAAATTAATTTCACTTTGTATGAAAAAATAAGTAAATATATATCATTTTTCATCTCTCCCCACGCAGATAAACATATCAAATTTATGCTTCTTTTTCCTCACTCGAATAAAAAAAATAATTATATTTATAAATATTCCATTATAAGAATATATTAAATTTTCTAACTAAAATAAAAACTAAATTGCTAACTAAAAATTTCTAAAAAAAATAATTTTCAAATAAAATGAGTATTTTTTTCTAATATAAAATAAATAATCGATGTTTCAGTAACTAAAAAATAAATCATAATCTATTAAAAAATAAATCTTTTTGTTTCATAATGTTCTTGTCAACTAAATAAAAATTTACCATCAGTCGGTACATAAAATGACACTATTTTCTTGTGTAATAAAGGAAAAGAACCGGTTTTTTCACTTTGGAGGAATTTTAAAGTTTTTTTTAAACTGAAAAATAAGTTGCAAATAGTTTGAGAGGAGAAAAAGTAAATGAAGAAAAAATCTTGATGCTGTATAGGAGACAAAAAAATAGAATTCATTTTTTCGGACATTTCCCCATTGTTTCGAGCAGTTGCTGAGAATGTGCAATAAGTTTTTTTTGTAATCTAAAGCTCTTTTCACAAGTGGTGCAATTAAATTTTCCCCGTAATCTCTTGTGCATTTTTAAATGCCTCTTAAATGTGGCATTCGATCGAAAATATAATTCACAAATTTCACATTTTCTGACATTAATTTTATGCCTCAGATAATGATTTTTGCATGACGACAAATATCGAAATGTAAAATTACAAATGACACAGGCAAATGGTTTCTTAGCGGTGTGCGTGTTAATATGATCTTTTAAAGATCTTCTTTTAGAGTACCCTTTTGGGCACAGGTGGCATTTGAAAGGAAAGTTATCGGTGTGAATAAACATATGAGTTTTGAGATCAGTTTTGCCTTTGTATGTTTTGTCGCAAAGATAACATTGATATGGCCTTTCGTTAGTGTGCACTCGCATGTGATGAGCAAGAGCTGATGGTTTCTTAAAACTCTTTTTACAATACGAACACACATTTTTCACAGGTGGAAAGTGTATTTTCAAGTGACCCCTTAATGCAAATTTGTTTATAAACTTTCCATTGCACTCGTTACAGGTGAATTTTTCCTCATGCAATTTCATGTGATAATTTAAGTATGTAATGCTGATGAAACCTTTATTGCAAATCTGAAAAAATAATTTTATTCTAATAAAATTTTTAAAATAATTTAGAATAGGGTCATTTTTTTAAAACCGTTTTAGGGTTACGTTATCCATGACTGTAAAATTAAACTTACGGAATACGTAATAATACCCTTCTCATATTCCGTAAGATTCATTTTACGTTCGAACAGGTTTTTTTAATAAAAAAAAAATTTTTTTTTTAAATTTTTTAAAATTCCAAATGGCGGGAGGATTTTGAAAAAGTTTTTAAATTTAATTAAAAATTGTTATTTGGGAGTTTTTGGATCGCTGATTATTTTTCGAAGCCTTATTCAAAATTCAAAATAGGGGAACATATTGTGGGAATAGATTTTTAAAAAATTATGACCATACTTGTTTAAAACTTTATATTAACTACGAATCCGCACTTAGTTTTCAAAATTCAAAATGGAGGATACAATATGGCGTATAATTAAAAACAAGTTGTTCATTTCATGATCATTTAGCCTCCTTAATATAATATATATACCAAATGCCTATTTTTTATTATAGAATAATTATTTTAAAGTATTAAGATAAAATTTCAAAAAATACAAAATTTGAATTATTTGCTAAAAATAAAAATATCGATTAATTTTATAAATATTGATAAAATTTATACTTTATATACATCAATCAATTTGTTTTCATGTCAGGAATGTAATTTTGACCAGAATTAATGAAAATATTTAAAAAAGAAAAAAGTTATTTCAAAAACTACAAAAATAAATTTTTTTCAAAAATTAAAAAATTGCTAAAAAATTTTTTTTTTAGATATTTTTGAAAATATTTTTGTCTGATTTTAGGTATTCATGACCGTAATACACCTACCAAATTTAATCAAAATCAAAACGTGTAAGAGAAAATTTGTCCACAAGAAAAAAATGCAGTAATTCAAATTCTTCTGAAATTCGTAGTTAAATTTTTTAATAAATATTTAATGAATTATATTAAAAATAATGAATTTATAGAAGAATTTTAGTTAAAAACACTTAAAAAAATTGAATTTTGGAGAAGTTACAAATAATTTTAGAAATTCAATTATTTTCAAAAGTAATAAAATTCTTCGCAAAAATTCAATTATTACCCAAAATTTATAAAAGTTCTTGTTAAAATTTCAAATAACTTTATAAATAATAAAATTCTCCGAAATTTAATTATTTTCAAAAATTTTATTAAAATCTTTGTCAAAATTTCAATGATTTTCAAGAATTTTCCTCAATTTAATGATTTACATCTGAAACAACTACAAATTTCACTAGATTAGCCAAATTTTTAATTGTTTCAGTTAAGACTTTCATTATTTTAGTGAAACTTATCGCTGTTCCAGATAAAAATTTTTTTACGTACTATTTTAATAAAATTTCCCAAAAGAATTCGATTATTTAAAAAAAATTGTAATAAAATTCTCGTAAACATTTAATTATTTTGATAAATAATAAAATTTTTTTACAGGGATTCAATTATTTTCAAATATAATAAAATTCTTTTTAGAAATTCAATTATTTTCATAAATCAAAACTCATTGTAGAATTTCAATTCTTTTTAATAAAATTTTAATCGAATTCCTGAAGAATGTAATTATTATTCAAAATTTCATTAAAAGTCATCAAACTAATTCATTTATTTAAAAATTTGTTGACAAAATTCTTTATGAGAATTTGATTTTGAGAAACATTTAATTATTCAATAAATTATTTATTTTTGTGTTTAAATAATTGAAATTTCTAATAAAAATTGATTTAAGAATGAATTTTTGTTAAAATTTTAGATAATAATTGCATATTAAAAACATAGCATGAATTTTTAGGAATAATTGAATTTTTGAAAAGGTTTCAAATTTAAATCTTTGAAAATTTGAACTTATCATACTTTTAACTAACAATCTTGTAGAATTAATGTTTTTGAATATATAAAATTTTTTTTGAAATTATTTAAAGTTTTTATTTTCTGATATAATATTTAATTGAAGAACTTCCAAATAATAAAAATTTCATCAAATTGAATTGTGAACAAATGAATTTGATAATTCTCAAAGAACTTTTTCAGAAATTATTAAAAATAATTGATAATTGATTAAATTTAAGAGATTTTAGAGAAAATTATATTCTATATTTAAAAATAAAAGTTACTCGGGGGTTTTGGGATCGCTGAATACAAATCTGAGGTCATTTTTCGAAAATTCAAAATGGCGGATCCAATATGGCGGACATGAAAATTAAAAATCGAATGAATTCGCTTGAAATTCATTACTTAGGGGTTTTTTAGGGTCGCTGAATACAAACCTGAGGTCAGCTTTCAAAAATTCACAATAGCGGATACAATATGGCGGCCATGGAAATATTTTCATATCCGCCATTTTGATTTTTAAAATAATTACTTCAGATTGGTATTCATTAGCTTTAAAAACACCCGAGTGGTTATATTTTCAAGTGAATTCAGTCATTTTTAATTTTCACGTCCATCAAATTTGATCCGCCGTTTTGAATTTTTTAAAAATAAGCACAGATTTGTATTCAGCAACCCAAAAAACTCCCAAGTAACGAATTTTAACCGAATTTAGTCAATTTTTTTACGTCCGACATATTGGATCCACCATTTTGAATTTTCGAAAACTGACCTCAGATTTGTATTCAGCGACCCTAAAAACCTTCGAGTAATTATTTTTAAGCGCATTCAGACGATTTTTAATTTTCATGTCCGCCACATTGGATCCGCCATTTTGAATTTTTAAAAACTGGACCCCAGATTCGTATTCAGTAAAAAGAAAAATGCGTGACTCCAAAGGCAAGCAAATCCAAGTGATTTTTAAAAATGTTATTTGTCATATTGGATTTATCATTTTGAATTTTAAAAAATTGACATCAGATTTGAAATCAGCGACCCCGAAAACCACCGAGTGACAAATTTCAAGTAAATCCAATCAATTTCTAAAAATTCCGCCGCCATATTGGATTCGCCATTTTGAAATTTAAAAAACTGATATCAGATTCGTAATCAGTGATCCCGAAAATCCCAGAGTAACAATTTTCAATCAAATTTGAGCAATTTTGAAAAATCAGTCCACCATTTTGAATCCACCATATTGGATTTTTGTAATGTGACTTCAGATTCATAATCATAATAAAAAGTCAGTGTAAAAAAGAAATTTCATTCTAAAAATGTAATTAGATAAAAAAAAATGGCAAAACTCACCTGACAAATAAATGGACGGTCACCAGTGTGTCTCCTCAAGTGCGTTGCCAATAATGATTTTAATGGAAATTCCTTATCACAATATTGACAAATATGCAGTCCCTCCTTCGTGTGTATAAGTGCAACATGTTGATCTCTACTTTTCGTGAAATTAAAACGTTTCTCGCAATATGGACACTTGTGCTCCTTGAGATTCTGATGTGTTATAAGATGATGTTCTAGTGCTTGTTTTAGCATAAAAGTTCGACCACAACCCAGAATGGTACATTTGTATGCACTTATTTCATGTGTTTTCATATGATAATAAAGTGAATGTTTACTATTCATTACTTTACTACATATCTTGCATGCCACCTTAATTGGATGATGTACTGTCATATGTGAACTAATATCACTTTTTGTTCTAAATGTATGCTTGCAAGTGTAACAAACAAATTTACGTTCAACAGTGTGTGATCCTAAGTGCTTTTTTAATTCAGCGTTTGTAATGTAACACTTTTCGCATTTATTACACTTGAATGGTCGATCTTTAATTCTGTGCTTCTCTTCATGAAGTCGTAAATAATATTTAGATGATAAACGTTTATTGCAAATTGAACAAATGTACCTCTTCTTGCCATGTGTGTACAAATGTCGTTGTAATCCTGTTCGTCCTTTTATTTGTTTTGAACATTTTGGACATATCAACTTTTTTGCTTCAGATATTTTTGCTTTATTTACTAGTTTTTTGATGTCATCATCAGTATAAGCAACTTTAGCGTCATAATTTTTTGCATCAACACCACCATTGTAATTATCAGACAATGATGAAGAAGCTTTACCCGATTTTGGAGAATTTTTCGGCAAAATTGAAGAATCTTCTTTCATCAACGAAAAATTTTTTGTTAACAAATTATTCCTAGTGACTGAGATTTCTTGACGATTTTTCAATTTTGTTCTTAGCGATGATTTTTTTAATCGAACCGATCTTAAAGATGAATGTGCCTTTCTTAAATTATCAGAGAGAAATTTTTCAAGTGATGGGCAATCGGTGCCACTTTTCTCCTTCGAATTATTTTTCATTTTCATAATATCCGTTAAGGTGACATAAAGACGTTTATTATTGCATAATTCGGATTCCAATTTTTTATCCACTCGATTTTCCGTCTTATTTTGCGATTTTTGATCATTTTCAACTTTTGGTTTCGCTTTCAATTTTATATTATTATTATTATCATCTTGATTTTGTATTATTGGCGTTAAATTACCCTCCTTCGCACGTTTTCTTGAAATTAAAACTTTTCCCTTTACGTCGAGTATATTAATTGCCCAGGTCGACATCTTGGCATTCTTCATATCTGAAATTAAAAGAAAACAAATTTTCTTGTCTTAAAACTATAATTCAAAATTTTTTAAAATATTTTTATAAAAATACTTTAAAAATTTTTTAATGATTATTAATAATATTTTTATTATTATTAATAATATTGTTATTATTATTATTAGTATTAATAATAATATTATTACATAATAAGAATATTTCTGTTATTTAACAAATCAACGATTCGAGTTATTGAAAATTAACATTGGATTCGTTATCAGAGACCCCAAAAACCCCCGAGTGACGAGTTCTAAGCAAATTCGATCTATTTTTAAAAATTACCCACCATATTGGAGCCGCCATTTTGAATTTTTAAAAACAGACTTGCGATTCGTTATCAGCGAGTTAAAAAACCCCTGAATGACGAAATTCGAGCAAGAAAACTACTTTTTAATAATTCTGCCGCCATATTGGACCCGCCATTTTGAATTTTAAAAATCTGGCCTCAAATTCATGTTTAACCACCCCGAAAATTGCCGAGAGTAACAAATTTCAAGCGAATTTCGTCAATTTTTTTTCATTTTCCACCATTTTGAATTTTAAAAATCTGACTTTAAATTCGTAATCAACGACCCGAAAAACTCTTTAGTGATAATTTGCAAAATAAGAAATATTTCGAAATTTTCCCGACATTTATGATTCGCGATTTTGAATTTTCAAAATCTGACTTAAGATTCGTAATCAACAACCACAAAACACGTGAGTGACAATTTTTTAAGGGAATTTAATAAACTTTTGTAAATTTTCCCGACATTTTTGATCCGGCATTTTGAATTTTAAGGAACTGATTAAATATACATTAATTTTCAAAAAGTTAAAAAATGTTTTGAAATGAAAATTTAATTTCTAATAATAACAATCTACAACAAAATTTTCCTGTTTTAAAATTTTTTGATAAATTAATGAAATTTATTATTTATTTGTTATCAATTATTTATTATTATTTAATTATTATTAAAAACAAAATATAAAAAATTTTAGAAGTAGAAACTCATATAACTCAGCAAATAAAAATAATATTAAATATTAGTATTTAAAATTATAATAATTATTAAATAATAATAGGTAATAATAATAATATCAACAATTTTAATTATAATAATTAATATTAAATAATAAATAATAAAAGTATTAATTAATTGATTATAAAAGTTTTGATTAATAATTATAGTAACATTTATAATTATAAAAATTAACAAAAAATAATTATTATAAAGTAACAATAACAACAATAATAATAAATAATTTACTTTCATTTCCTAAATTTAATTAAACTTATCTAATTAATGGAATAAAAATAATAAAATTGTTTTCTTGAAAATTTAATTTAACTTAAAAAATGAAAAATAAACAACTAACAATACAATAAATAAAAGTCAAATTAGTAAATAGAGTTAAAAAATTTCACAAAGAATATGGTTTGACTTTTAATCACTGCCTGTAAAATGGACGCTTCAAATGTGCCGCTTTATATTATAAAATTTGTAAATTAAATAATAAATATTATTAAAATTTTTAAATTTTTTTAACTCTATTAAATTATTTAATTCTGTTAATTTACTTTACAATATAAACAACACTCATTTTTCTAACCTTAAGTATCAATCAGCTGTCACAGATTAGGTTGGTTGTCGCTGTTATCAGTGAACATGAGTCTATTACTTTTTGCGTGCCTGTCGTAATAAACCGTAATCGTTAACAAAAGAATGAGTTAGAGAAGGATAAACAATATACCTATCCTTCTCCAACTCATTCTTCCTTTAAGACCTTTAAGATTGCGGTCACATTTCTATTCTACTTTGGCCTTAAAGAAAAATTTAATTCAATGTGGATAGGAGCTTTAGTATGGACCTAAAGGTGCTTTCATAATGACAAAACACAAAAGAGTTTATGAACAGGACAGGAAAAGAAATGAGGGGGTTTAGTCTAAAGGTGCTTTCATAATCATACAGTTTATGGACAGGACAGGAAAATAAATGATAGGGGCTTTAGTCTAAAGGTGCTTTCATGATCATACAGTTTATGGACATGACAGGAAAAGAAATGATAGGGGCTTTAGTCTAAGGGTGCTTTCATAATCATACAACTTGAATAGCAATAGACATATTTACTAAAAGGGGAATAAAAAAATGTAAATAGGGTAAAAAGGATAGGGGCTTTAAATAACTCAAAGGTGTTTTCATACTCATACAACTAGACTAGTCATCGAGAAAAAAATAGTGAAATCTTTAAAGCTGCGGTCACACCTCTGCAGGCAGGAGCAACGAAAGTGAGGGAGAAAGTGCATTAAATTTTAATTCACGGACACTCCTACTCTTGTATGTTACCATGACAACCTGCAAACTGTCTGCCTGCCTGCAGAGGTGTAACCGCACTTTCACATATACTTAAAGGTGCTTTCATAAAAAAAGCAGAAAATCAACTCTGAATTAATTAAAAATTATACTTTCTTTCTCAAAAATAAAACAATTTTATTTTTTTTTACAATTTATACATTAAACTAAAAAACATATTTTACATTGTATAAAAAATAAGTAAATCTCTCATTTTTCATCTCTCCCTACGCAGATCAACAAGTCAAATTTATGTTTCTTTTTCTATACACTAAATATAGTTTTCAAAATAAAAAAAATATATTTGTAAATATTCTATTATAAGAATATATTAAAAAATTTCTAACTTAGAAAAAACTAAATTTCTAACTAAAACTTTCTAAAAAAATAAGTAATTTTTTCTAATGTAAAATAAATAATCGTTTTTCCAGTTGTACAAAATAAATCGTAATCTATTAAAAAATAAATTTTTTCTTTCCTAATGTTCTTGTCGACAAAATAAAATTTTACCATGCAGCACGTAATATAACCTTAAGATAAAGGCTATTTTATTCCAGTGAAATATTCCAGAGATCTTAAAGTAGTATTAAAATGTCCGCTTCAAAGAATAATATTCCAAGATAACATTGAAGGAATGTTCCACGGTAATATCAAAGGAATATTCCAGGATGATGTTGAGGGAATGTTCCACCTTAATATTAATGGAATATTCCAGGGTGATGTTGAGGGGATATTCCCAGGTTATTGCCTGGGAATATTCCAAAATATCATCTTGGAATATTTCTTTAATAGAACCAGGGAACATTCCGCCAATGTTATCTTGGAAAATTCCTTTGAGGCGGACATTTTAATATTACTTTAAGATCCCTGGAATATTCCAAATATCTAATGTAATATTAAAACAATAAATCTTGATATTGAAACACACAAGAGAATAGAATTCATTATTTCGGACATTTCCCCTTTGTTTCCAGAAGTTTCTGACAATGTATAATAAGATTTTTTTGTAATATAAAGCTCTTTTCACAAGAGGTACAATTAAATTTTCCCCGTAATCTCTTGTGCATTTTTAAATGCCTCTTAAATGTGATTTTCGCTCGAAAATATAATTCACAAGTTTCACATTTATTGATATTCATTTTATGCTTCTGATAATGAGCATTGCATGATGACAAATATTTAAATGGATAATCACAAATTACACAAGCAAATTCTTTCTTACCGGTGTGCATGTCAATGTGATTTTTTAAATCTTTCTTTTTACTGTACCCTTTTGGGCACAGGTGGCATTTATGAGGAAAATCATCAGTGTGATTATACATATGAGTTCTTAAATCACCTTTACTTTTATATGTCTTGTCACAAATATAACATTGAAATGGCCTTTCGTTAGTGTGCACTCGCATGTGATGAGCAAGAGCTGATGGTTTCCTGAAATTTTTTTTGCAATATGAACACACATTGTTCATAGGTGGAAAGTGTATTTTCAAGTGACGCATTAATTCAAATTTATTTGTAAACTTTTCATTGCACTCGTTGCAGGTGAATTTTTCCGCATGGAATCTCTTGTGATAATTTAAGTGTGTACTGCTGATGAAACCTCTATTGCAGATCTGAAAAAAATAATTTTATTCTAATGACATTTTTAAAATAATTTAGAATAGGGTCATTTTTTTGTAAACCGTTTTAGGGTTATGGCACGGTCACAGCTCGACTGTCTGTCTGTGCCGCAACTAGAGTAACGGAGAGAAAACATAATTTAAATTGTCTGACTCTCTTACTCTTATGTGTTACCATGACAACCTGTAGGCAGGTAGGCAGCCGAGCTAAGACCGTACCTTAAAGGCCTAAGCACAATTGCTTCCTGCCGACGTCAATATAGAAGAAATTACAGATTTTGAAATCGTTCCTTTTGAACAATCAGAAATGAAAACAGGAAATTCTAGTTCAGAAGCTAAGAATTAATTATGAACTAAAGTAAGAACGTTACAAGTTCAAATTAAGTATTTCTTATGGTTATTTATTTCTTTTGAATGTTTTTATATCTATTGTGTTTTATGTTTCGTATAACTATACCGAAAATGAATCATCACGATATAGTTATAAATTTTGTGTAATACCACAAAAGATCTCAAATGATGATCTTGTAATATTATTTTGCGCCTTTTATATACTTACAATTGCAAAATAATGCACATTTTTCATTGTAGATAAACAATATAAGAATTCTGCATTTACAGATCTGTTATATTATTTATAAAATATTTTGTACTTTGTACCTGACAATAAAAAATAAATAAATTTAAAATATATCAGACTTTGGAAACTATTTTATTTTATATGTTGATTAATTAATTATTCTCTTTAATTCTTACGCCATAGAGTTATAAATAAATGGCATTAGTTGGCATTAAACAAAATCATGCGAATACTATTGAATGCCGTTTAATTCTGTTTTTTATTCCTTACAATTAATGCTTTTTCATCTTTGCATAATTGATAAGGGGTCAAATTCTTTTAACATTTACGCGAAATGTCCCGAAATAACGAGCTTACCTCAGAAACCGATCAAACTTATCGACGACGTATATCACCACATCAAAACCCGTGGTCCACCCGTAGCTTTCCGCTCACGACGATTATTTCCCGATAAAGTTGCTAAAGATATGTTTCGAGCCATGTGTGAGGACGGCACGTACCTCCCCCCGTCTAAGGCTGAATATGCAGCTCCGTTAAACATGAATCCCAAAAAAGATGGGGGGTGGAGGATGTGCAGACTAGTCCGAACTAAATAAGGTTACAGTACCCGATAGATTTCCTGTACCCTATCTTTAAGATTTCGCGTCATATTTACGCGGAAAAAAATCTTTTCGAAAATCAATCTACTCGCTGCGTTTCATCAAATACTAGTCTTTCCGATGGACATTCCCAAGACGGCGGTAATTACTCCGTTTGGCCTATTCGAATTCGTGGTAAAAGCCATTCGGTGTGCGTAACGCTGGATAGACGTTTCAGCGTTACGTATATCGTGCACTTGGAGATCTCGCGTTCACTTTCGCCTATTTCAATGACATACTCATCGCGTCCGACAATTTTCAGGAGCATGAATGTCATCTCGACATGTTTGCCAACGATTAAAGAATTTACATTGCGTGTGAATATCGAAAAATGCGTTTTAGGAGAAGAACAAATTGAGTTTCTCGGGTATTTTATCGACGGAGTTCCTCGTGAATTTGCCTTGCCAGAAAATTATTTGAACGAAAAACAATTCATTCTTGATGAATTCCGCGAACAAATGCGAAAAATTAAAGCAGTCCCAGTTGAACATCGACACAAGAAGAGAATATTTTTCCACAAGGATCTTAAAAATTGTTTACACGTTTTTTTGCTACAAAGTCTAACAATAAAAAAGGGTTTAGTATGTCTTTACTCCAAAATGAGATAACGCGCATCGAGTTGCTCATAGCGGTTGGTAATGAAGCGACGATATAATATATTAGCTTGTCTTGGCTAGTCTGGTCAGCGACCTATTCGATAAATCATTCAATCGCAAGATTTCATTTTGCTGGTTTGAATACGTCAGTTGTAATATTTGATTGAAGTGAGGTGCAGCTTTGAGATCGTTTTTGTTCTTCACTATAGTTTTCAGTCTTTAGTTTCGATCTATGGAATACATTCTTATTTAACTTGTCGGAGAGGAAGTAACAGCATTAATGCCATCTTTGTCCGACAAAACATCTTTTCCATGAGCAACAGCCTGATCACAGATTTCCAAATTTGCTGCAACAATTAGTTATTTTACAGTGCAGAAATGTTTTTCTTACTCTTCACTCTTACGGACCCATTTAAAATAAGATGTTTGATCATCATTATCAATAACCTCTATTGCTTTGTTAGCGCATTCCGAACAATCCCCATACGTACAATCTTTATCGTTGATATTACAGACATGAGAAGTCATAAAAGGTTATGTACTTGAATTGACAGTCAGCCTCAAGTACATTAATTGATTGAGAAGAAGCTTCATATTTGCTTGAATTTTGCACATGCAAGTATCTCGATCTGAAGATTTGCGCATGAGAATCCAAAAAGGTTTACATTTGTAAAATGTGGCTCGACATATTTTCGTTGATTTCGTTCGAGTGAATTTTTCAAACAAATTATCCATAGTATCAAGCAGAAATCTCTTTCTTTTTGTGATTTTATTTTTGGTGATTATATCTTTTTCTCCATGCGCAATCGCTGTATTTTCGTTTTAATGCAAGTTTCGTACTATGCAGTAAAAGGACGATTTGTGAGATATATATATAAGTGCGGTGCTGAAAATTGTATAGTGGGAATGAGTTCGTCAGCGTACAGCTTGAAATCAGATGGAGGGATTGTGGCGACTGAGGGTTTTCCCCCTTGCTCTACGTCCCTGACATGCGGTTCATATGACAGGTAAGGTTGAGTAGACGGTACACTTAGTCAGCGTTTACTACATCTAGTATTAGGACGTACTCATGTCATCAGCCGACCAATCTGGGCTTACTTTAATTATAACCTTAATTGTAATTGTTACTAATTAGTTCGTAGAAAGCAACAAATAAAGACACTTATTATATTATAAATTGGTGTACGATTTTTTTAAGTGAACACGTGTGGCGTGTGGCCTCCAACATTTCTAACTTCAACTCAGCACATGTCGATTTAAGAGATTATCGTTAGCATCAATACAAAAAAAAACTAGTGCAAACGCTGAAAATCTCAAGCAGAAGATAAATTCTGACACAATTCTCCAATAGTCAACCAGGCGACTTTTCAACTCCGTAAAAAATTCCAAAGGAAAGATCCACGAAGTACATGGTCCAAGAAGCGGAAGTAGCAGCCATTTTTCATTTGTCCCGTGAGAGGGAAAACAGAAAAAAACAGCTAAAAATCCAGAAGGCGCTATTCGTTCTCCCGGCAGAGGAGAGCCTACGTCACGAGTCGTCGTCAAAATTGACGATTAGCAGTCGTCAACTCTTGGATCCAGTCGTTTATTGTTGACTGCTGTACCATTGACGTCATCCAGTAGCCATTATCAAAAAGGCATACATCTAGTGTACGGTGAATTGCTCATTATTAAGGCCTTTATTCGGTAACATAGATAAACAAATTTTCCTTATCGTGCATTTCAAAGGGTTCAGTCGGGAAATATTCCACCTTTAGCCATTCAGGCGGGAAATATTCAACCACCAATTGCTCATCCAGGGAACACTCCACCGCCAACTGATCAGTCAGCGAACATTCAGCCTACTGTTCAGCAACATTACGCGACTCATCTGATAGGGCAACAGCTGGAACATCAAGCGATACACTTTACCTATTGCAATCGATACAATTATCGGAACAATCTAAAGATCAACACATGCGTTTGGTTCAACCGCGAAAAAATAGTAGGGAATCGGCAAATATTTAAGAATACGCGACACCGGGCGCAGCTATGGCTTTGTAATTAAATCGCTTACAACTGCTAACTACCACGTTTACATGGACAAGTTTCGCATAAAATTCCAAAACTTCCCCCGTTTAATAAAATTGACCCTACGCTTTGTTTCGCTCAAGTAGAAAGAGCATTCTATTAGAGTAATATTACCTCGGAATCAGCAAAATTTAATGCTATTAACATGGTACTAGATTCAGAGGCGTCCGCGTGCGTTAGAGATTTAATATTAATGAATATGCAAATTTCTCGGCCACAGCCAAAAATTGCTTTACACAAATTTGCTCAAATTTATAATGTTTATAAATTTTCTCAATGGCAAATTAACACTTCCAAATAAGCCATCGCAACTCTTAGCTGAACTACGCAGACTTAACGATAATAATCTTTGTCCTGAGGAATTCTCAAAAGCCGTGTTTTTCGAATATTTGTCTTCTCGGTGCCGTTCCATTCTTGCACCAATGCGAAATGTCACTCTTGATGACCTAGCACGGCAAATTAAATTTCGGCAAGCGACACGGACTCGACCGAAAAGGCGAATTTAATTGTGAAAATTAGAGAATTATCTAAACGTCTTACGAATATAGAAAGCGAGTTACAATCGTTAAAGAGAAATCAGCGCAGTAGGAGTAATTCAGGTCAAAGATACAATAATAGAGGTAAACAAGTAATCAACCCCAGCAAAACAAGTTACTGGAAACACAGGAAATTCGGGGAAAAAATTCGCTGCCAACGACTCACAAATCTTTATCTACGGAGAAAAAAGGTTCGATTTAAATCTTGGCTTAAATAAACAATTTTTGTGGAATTTCTGTGTAACAAATGTTTCTTATCCGATAATAGGCGCAGATATGCTCTCGTTTTATGATCTATCAGTGAACTTAAAACAACGAAAATTGATCGATAACAAATCAAATAGTAGCAAGGAAGTTTTCGTCGCGGGAATTAGCACAGTTAGTAATTCATATCCTTTCGCAAAGATTTTAAGCGTCTTTCCGAAAGTAACTGATCTCGCTCAATTCGAGCAATCGATTTCTGATGAAGTTGTTACCACATTGAAACAACCAGTCCCCCGGTTCTTTTAATTTAAGCCTAAGAATAAATATTAAAAAATTCGAATTCTGTCTCGAGGAGACTACATTTCTAGGT